TTTGGACCACTCTGGAAGCCTCCTCCTAAGTAAGTCTTCCTGCCACCGGTCTCGCCCCTTCAGTCCATCCTCCACACAGCTGCCGCAGGGATCTTATGAACACATAAATCTCACCACACTGTCAAATGCCCTTACTCAGAGCTCTTTGATGAAAAAAATAAATAAAAATAAAAATGCCTTTGATGGCTCCCCAGCTCCTGCAGGATAAAGCACCAAGTCCTAATCTGGCTTTTGAAGCCCTTCACAGTTCAGGCCCAACTGTTCTGTCCAGTATCCCCTTTATGCCCCGCGGCCCAACCATAGCCTGTGTGGCTCCTCTTGCCCTAGAGTTTGGGTTCATGCTCCCCAGCCCCTCTGTCTTCAGTGCCTCTCTCTGTCCTGTGCCTTCCTCTTTCACCTGGCTGGACACAGACAGGCTCCTCATTGCTCTCCCTGTGGCATCTCATGCCCCTTCTAGTCCATTCTCAATGTGGCAGCCAGAGTGAGCATAATTAATTCAGACCATGTGATCTCCTGCCCTAAGAGCTTTTACACTGTACTTGCAGTAAAGTCCAGAGTTCCTGCCACAGTCTGTTTCACTCTTGGTGGTCTGGCCCCTGCCTACCTGTCTAACCTCACCTTGTCAAGCTGCCCTAGCATTGTGACAGGGCATCAAACAAACCAAGCTCTTTCTGCCTCATGCCTTACTTTTTTGTTTTTACTCTTCCTTCTGCTTGGAATATTCTTTCCCTGGCTCTTCCTCTGGCTGGCTTTTTTCATCCTTCACATCTTACCTTAAAATTAACCCATTCAGAGAGGCCCTCCCTGCCAAACCTGGAGTGCACCCCAGTCTCCTCCACAGCAACGGTCTGTTAGTTCCTTCATAGCGTGTACAACAGTTTTTAGTTACCTCAAAAACCATATTTACTTGTTTATTTACTGCTGCTCTATGAGGTAAGGGACCTTGTCATGTCCCTCTCCTTGCCAGTCTGGGTGTCAATCTTGCTTTCATCCTTCAGAATCCTCCATTCTGACATCTTTGTATGCCTTTCCTTTCCCGGATAATGAATGTCTTGCTCCCTTACTGGACACAGAATAGAAGCTGTCAGATGCACATTGAGTTGAATGCATGTGTTTCTCTTAGCTGGGGTAGCATTTTAGCAAAGTTCTGCAATGTCTTTATTCAAAGAAGGACTTCCGGGCACTGAGTGTATTGGTAGCAGATATATTTTAGGCTAGGATTGTTTTCGAATTACATCTTTTCTGCTTATCTCCCCTTGTTTGCTTTCTCCAGTATTATTCCCCACTGACATCTTGGGGATGTCAGAGGGACTGTGCCCCTTTGGGCTTTTGCCCTGTCAGCTCACTGCTCTTGGAAATTGCTCCAAAACAGTCCCTGCTCAGAAGCTGCTTCCCAGTTTGGCAATGGTGGGCTCCAGTACTCTTAGCATCTAGTGATCTGAGGCCTCTGATGGAGAGGAGTTGGGATTAACCTAGGCCCTGGTACCTAGCTTGGCTCCAGGCCCCCATATCATAAATTTTCCAGTCATGGTTTTTGGCCACTTTACCTGCTACCCTGGGCCCTGCTTCCCTCCAGTTCTGTTCCTAGCCCGAGGTTCAGTGGCTCTCTATGGGGGATATAGATGGGTATGGGCAGGCTGAATTTCAGTCTTTGGGGGAAGTGATAGGGTTTTCTAGAGCCATCTGGATCTGAGGGCCTAGGGGAGCTGAGGCCCTAAAAGCACCCCAAGACCCAGCCCTTCCAGCCCTGTCAGTACTTTAAGTCCCTGGAAGATTTTGGTTGCTTCAGTGATTTCAGGAGCAAGTTCCTCCAGCCAGGAGGATGGGCACACTGCAGGCCAGGCTGCAGGTGACCTGGCTGCCACCTTTGGGTGCTGATAAAATTTACTTTTACCTTTCCTGGTGTTAATGTCTGGGATAGGAAACTCACCTTGGGGGTGGGATTCTGGAGTCTGACCTTGGTCTCCCTCTGTCCCCAGCAGGGGCTCAGTGACCTCAGCTTAGGTGAGGCTCTGGACAAGATGACTTCCTTCTGATTCCTAATACCCTGGGGCGGGGAGGGGGAGAGGCTTCTTTAATGGAGAAATGTAAAAGATACAGGAAAATATAGAGACTAATAACAAACCATTGATTATATTCTGTCATATTTGCTTCAAGTCTCCTGCCGCCAGGATTCTGGTCCTTTGGGGACCAGAATATGTGACCCTATACTCATAATATTGGCAAGAAGAGAGACTTAGGGTTGTCTACACAGGCTACTCAGTGGGTGAGTTACTTGGGATGAAAGGGTGGTTATCAAGAAAAAGCTTTCAGACATTCTAACATTCTGGAATCTAGATTCATAAAGTTGAAGCAGATCTTAGGAGTTACCAAGTCCAAAGCCTCAAGGCCCGTGCAACTTCTACATGGCTCTTCCTGGCTGTTGGCTGGCTCACTTCCTTCTGAGGAAGCCTCTCCTGTTCCTGACTGGCTCTGAGAGTAAAATGTCCTGTTTTGCTTCCTGTGACTACCCCATTGCTTTGCTCTTGAAGTTACACATATCACATAGGTAGCTCTGCTCCAGAACAGCTTTTTGGGTGTTTAAAGATGGTACCTTTGTTCTTTAGGATTATAACTCTTGTTGCATCTCTCAGGTATGTGTTGCTTTGCTCACCTTGCCAGGAAGGTGGGCCTTGAGTAGTAGAAGCTACAGGGCAGTTCTAGACCCATTTGAGGGTTGGCTTCTCAGCCTTAGGTTTATATACTGAGCAGGTAATTCTAGAACTCACATTTTATTTGGAACAGGCTAGATTTGCTAGAGGTTCTGATTCTCCAGGCTGATTCTATCGCCTGAACCCTTGGTAAGAAGCACTGCTAGGTTCCTAAGCACCTTGAACAACAAGCAGTTTTCCTCACCCCATGAGCTTTCTATAAATTGCTGAAGCCCAGCTTTTTATCTTCTGACCCCGTGCAGAGATCAAAACCCTGTACTCTAAATTATTTAACAACTTTGTTTCATTTTCTAACTCAAAAGACCCACGTTGACTTCCTGCGGTGGGCATGCGCTCCGTAAGGTCTGGGACTTGCCCTTCAGAGAGGGGAGGCAGGCAAGGAACAACCTAAATTCTAGGAAGAGAATTAAAACAGAATGATGTTTTCACAAATAAGGTAGAAAGAATAAAAGAATACACAATGTAGAAATCCATAAAAATTTCAAAAATGTGTATATATGTGACATTAGAGGCCAGAGAGTGGGTGTGAGGGGGATGCTGGTAATTTATGTTTCCTGAACAAGGGGTGTTTTTTTTTTTGTGAAAATTAATTCGACTGTGAAAGAATATTGCCATGGCCTGATTGCAATGGCCAAATGATTGGGAACAATCAAATGCCCACCCAAGGGAGACCTGTATCACTTCGTGACATGGGGGCATGTCTGTGGGACTAATTTCTGAAAGGGAGTGGGCATTTGTCATTTTAACAGACATTGCCAGATTTGGCCAGGTATTCTTTTTTTTTTATGATTGATTGATTGATTGATTTATTTATTTATTTATTTATTTATTTATACAAGCACTGGGTACAGTCAGAAGCGCGGGAGGGTGAGAGAATTCACCAGAGCCAGAGCGGGGAGCAGAGCAGGCAGAAGGACCGAGGTACACTGCTGAGGGGAGCAGCGGGCGGCAGGAGAGGTCTGCGCGCCATGTGGGACCCTCCTCCGGTGGCCGGGGAGCAGCCGGGGATCGAACCAGCGCTGCAGAGGCTGCGGGCAACTTCGCAACCCAGCGCTCAACCACTGCGCCACCGGGAAGGCCCAAAGTGCATAGATCTTACATGTGGTGCTCAGTTAGGTTCACAGAGTTTACCCACTACTCAGCTCATTAATAGAACTTTTCCTGCATTCCAGAGACTTCTCTTGTGCCCCCTCCAGTCACTACCACTCTTCTACTTGTTAAGTTATTTTCACCTGGTTTGAAATATGTATGGAGGAAAATGTATCTTTGAAATTATCTCTGTATATTTTATAGGATATAGCTCCATCTGCATGTTTAGGATTGGTAGCCCATTCGTATAGAGGATTTCTCAGTGAGCTTAGCCTGACGTCTAGCTGGAATGTTGGCTCTGGATCTTTAGTTCTACGTGTCCAGTGTAAGCTGCCAGGATCCTTTGATTCTCAGGCTCTAAAATTCTGTGGCATCACCAGGACCCTAATGAGGTGATGGACAGGAGAGCCTGGAAGTGCCCTGACACATTCCAGAGCCTTCTCAGGCAGATTGAGTGCCAGCATCCCCAACCCCTGGTGAGAGAGGGGTGTGGGAGGGGGCCCAGAGTAGAAAGTTGACTTCCTGTGAATCTTGAATGTTAAGGGTATGAAGGGGCTCCTAACTGATCTAAATTTCTTCAGTTTACTTCCTCTTCAGCCAAATCATTCCTGTATGCCTGTTGACTCAGGTCTGGTTTTCTTCATGTGTGATTTCCCCAGGGGACTCCAGGGGGCTGGGGCTAGAGGAGAGAATGAGACAGCATCTGGAGCTAGAGCAGGATAATATCTCACTGCTGCTTCTCTTGGTCTCTGCCAGTGCTTATCTGTGAGACTTAACCAGTGCTTTCCTTTCTCTGAGCCTCAGTTTCCCTGGATGTGTAAGGAGAATTGGCCCAAATAATCCCAGAGGACGTTCTGGGGCTCCCCCTCTCTCTCGGCTCTCTGTTTCTGGGAATGTGGGTCTTTTTCTGGATGTATCAGACACCCTGTGACTCAGTTTCTTTCTCTAAGCTCCTCAGTCTTCCCAAGTATGTCAGTGCCTTGTCCTTACCCTCATCAGTCTCTGAGTCCCAGCCTCCCTGTCTCTCAGTGGAGTGTGTCTCTCCTCCTTTGTGATCCCCTGACAATGGGAGGTAAAAATAGCACAGGGGCTGTGCTGGTGGAGATAAAAGGGAATTTGCCTTTTGTGTCCTGTGGCTGGCTGGGGGGGCTGTGACACGTGGAGATTGCTGACATAGCTCTCCTCCACTGACCTTGACAGCGGCAATAAAAGGGGTAGCCCAGCTCCCAGCCCTCACCGTGGTGTTGAGGTGAGTGATCAGGGCTGAGTCGGAGCTGAAGGGAGGGCAGTCGGGCAGGTGGGTGAGGGTGCCTCTGGGTGGGCACGAGTCTGTATCTGTGAGAGAAGATGCTCTGGTGTTTGAGAGGGTGTGTGCATGTATTGGGGGCTCACCGGGGTGTCTGCTGTGGGAGCCCCAGGGGATCACCTAGTCTGAGGTCTTGTGGGTTGTTGGATTATAACCCAGTGTGGGGCCCCTGGTCCCTCAGTTCCCCTGTCGCTGCTGTTTTTCCAGTGCCTGCTGCCTTGGCTGCCTCGGACCTCCAAGATTTCTAGTCCCTCATCTTCCACCTCTCAGTGCCACCACCATGATGGATATGAGTGAACTCGGGGAGTCTGCCCCCTACCTCCGCCAGGCCCACCAGGAGCTGATGAAAGTACACACTGTTGCATGGGATGGTAAGTGAAGACAAAGAGGGCACAGCCACAGAGAAGCCCTATGGGTGCAGACAGGTGTGGGGCAGGGTGGCTGATGGGGCACTCTGGCCTGATATCTTTAGCTCCAGACCTTTCCCTCAGAGTCTGGGCCCTGGGGCTAAAATCCCAGGCCCCTCCATACATCAAGCCTTGGTTTTTCCTTCTGTAAAATGGGACAGTTTCACCTGCCGCCCAGTCTGTGGCTGAAGCCTGAGACCTCTGAGATGAGATGCATATATGCAAACAACCTCTACATGTCGCCAAACCTGTGCTTGTTATTTTTAGCACTTTCCAGAGCCAAAGCCTTTGTTTCTTAGGGGCAGGAATAAAGCCTACTATTTATGGTCTGGTTTGCTCATAGGACAGTAATAACAATAAGCAGTGTGTATCGAGTGCTTGTTGTGTGCCAGGCTCAGAGCAGATGACTTTTCATGCACCCTCTCACCCTAGGGAGGTGGGGATCAGTGGGCATCTGGGCCAGGGCCGCCTTTACAGATGTGCAGTTCCTGCAGGTGCAAAAGGTACCACGCTTAGTGGCAGGGCAGGCAACAGAATCTGGTCGCCCAAATCTGTGCCTTTAACCACCGGGAAATATGGACTCTGTGAAGCCTTAGGGCCGGCTGGCCAGGCAAGGGGTAGCACAAGACACAGTCAGGAGATCCAGGTCTGAGTCTTCAGCAAAACAGAAGTGGGACTCCCCTGAGAATGATGTGTGATGTTGAAGCCATTCCAGAAGGTACATCAGGAGATGTCCATCATGTTTTGCTTTCAGGAAACAGGCCCAGAGAGAGTGAAGATTTTCCCCAAGTGACAGGGCAGAGGTGGCAGAAGCAGGGATCTGAATCCAAGTATATAATCCCCAGCGGTGAGGGGCTGTTAACCCTTGCCAGGGAAGCCTCTGATGAGCTCTGCCCAAACCTGTCTGCATTTGGAGGGATCTTCATTGGGTGCTTCTGCATCCTGACAGAGGGGCTCCTGGGAAGGACACAGATCTATGGACAAGGCTTGGGGCACCCAGCTGGGCCCCCAAACCCCAGATGTGCCCCAGCTGCTCTCAAAGTCTGAACCTTCTCCCCCAACCCAGGGAAGAAGCGGGTTTGGGTACCTGATGAGCGTGATGCCTACGTGGAGGCAGAGATAAAATCTGAAGCTACGGGGGGCAAAGTCAACGTGGAGACCAAAGACCAGAAGGTTTGGCTCCCCCTTTTCCTAGGATTATTAAGGAAATCCCAGGGTGTGCACCTCCTGGCCAGCGTGCACCCAGTGGAGGGGGTCTGTGAGTGCCCAGGGGTGAAGGGTGGAGGTCAGCTGGTTCCAGCCTACTACCCCACCACTGCCTCCCTGGCAGATGCTGATGGTACGCGAGGCGGAGCTGCATCCCATGAACCCTCCCCGCTTCGACTTGCTGGAAGACATGTCCATGATGACGCACCTCAACGAGGCAACTGTGCTGCACAACCTCCGCCAGCGTTACGCTCGCTGGATGATCTACGTAAGCCGTGTGGCAAGGCCATGTCAGGGGTGGGGCCTAGGGAGAGCCACTGAGTTGTGGGAATAGCTGTAGGGAAGAAGTGGAGCTGTGTGCAGTTGGGGTGGGAGGCAGCTGGCAGTGGGATATGGTGATGCCTTGAAGGCTTGGGGGCAGGGCCACTTGCTGGGGCTTATGGTGGGCGTGTCTGGCGGCGTGGCTACAGGGTTGCTAGTGTGGAGCTGCAGCAGCGGGGGAGAGCTGCAAGGGATTGTGGAGTTGGGTCCACATACCCTGTGTGAGTCAGGGCTAGGATGGGGCTTGAACAGCCACAGAGGGAATTTTGCAAGGCTCCTGGTTTGGTGAGGCCTGGGGTCTGAGGATGGGAACTTGGCCGCCTAGAACCTGGCTGTATATTCTCTCAGACGTACTCAGGCCTCTTCTGTGTTACCATCAACCCCTACAAATGGCTCCCGGTCTACACGGCCTCCGTGGTGGCGGCCTACAAGGGGAAGCGCCGCTCGGAGGCCCCTCCCCACATATACGCGGTGGCGGATAATGCCTACAATGACATGCTGCGCAGTAAGAGCCTCCCGACTCCTCTTCCCTACCCAGCACCCCTGCCCTGGCTCCAGGGAGGTCTCCGTGAAAGACCCCCTGCCCTCCTCCACTTGCGTTCTCCTTCTGATGTTGCGTAATCCTTCTGTCCTTTCTCGCCTCTACGCCACTTGGTCTTTCCCATTTCTGACCCTGGGTGGTGGAGGGATTGCACCAGTGGGTGGAGCCCCAAGTTGTTCCTTCTGTGGCTGGTCCCTCCTCTTGGCTAACTTCTCTATCCCCTCCCCTGTCCTCCAGACAGAGATAACCAGTCCATGCTGATCACGTGAGTGTCGGGTTCTGGGCATGGGGTGGGAAATGCTGGCCATCAGGCAGGGAGAGGACAGCTCGCAGGGTTGAATACCAAGTGCTTAGGGCAGGGCTTTTGCCACCTGGAGCCCATGTGCCAGCTGAGGCTACCCTAGGCCTAAAGCATTTTGTGTCCCTTTCTGCGCAGGTGCATCATGTGTGGTGGGCAGGGAATAGATCCCCAAGCACCTGAGCATCAGCCTGATGCCCTTGTCCCCAGGACCTGAATCTTTTCCTACCTTGATCTTTCGGGAATTTTGATTTTTGGCTCCATGGAAAGGGGGAAACTCCTTTCCTTGTCCTCCCCCTTAAAATCTCCTTATCTCTCAATCTTATTTCAGCCCTTCATTTGCGCCCCCCCAACCCCCCCGGGAAAGTGGTAGAATACTTCCATGCCAAGCTCATGTCTCACCAAGCCAATATGGACATGGCTGCGCCAGTGTGGGCATAGCACCTTTTAGCTAAGAACAAAGGCTTTGAATCCAGAAAGACCTGGACTCAAGTTCTCATGTTTCCACTGAAAGTGGGTGCCCCTGGGCCTGAGTCTCGTTGGTGAAAACAGAACAGTTCTGCTTCACCTTCCACGCTAGCTGTCAGGACTCAGTGAGTGGATGTATGCGCCTGGCACACACCAGGGACAGTGACATCACTTCTCTGAGCCCCAGTTCCTTGCCCATAGAATGAAGGTGTTGCTTTCCAGGGTTTTTAAGGCTTCAATGAGCTGTTTTGGGTGCAGCCCCTGGCACTATGTGCCCAGGAACCAGTGGCGTCATCGTGCAAGTTCTCATCTGTGTAAAAACTCGACCCCTCTGAGGGCTGCGCTGTCTATGGGAGTGTTGAGTTGGGGGTCCCGAGTTAAGAGCTGGGTGGGAGGGCAGAGGGGCTCTGCTGAAGGAGTGGGGCACTGGGGGTGGGAGGAATTAGAGTGACCAGGTGGGTATTGGTGACTCATGTTTGTGTTGTCCAAGCGGAGAGTCGGGGGCCGGTAAAACGGTTAACACCAAGCGGGTCATTCAGTACTTTGCCATCGTCGCCGCCCTGGGAGACGGGCCGGGCAAGAAGGCCGTAAGACTCGCCCTCAAGGGCGCCTCGCTCCACTGCTTCTCAGTTTTCCTTTTCTTTCTCCTCTTTCCTTTGTCTTTTCTTTTCTTTTCTTTTTTTAAATTTGATTCCCCAGAGCCTCCAGCCCTGCCTGAAGCTCCCACCCTGGTGGGGGACTCTGGCCTGAGCAAGGCTTGACCAGACATGCTGTGGCCACCCTGACGTGCTGGGACACCCAGTCTGGGCCTGCCTCAACTTCCCATTCGTCACAGAGGGGTGGGACCACGGCTACTCCAAAACTGTTCATGTGATTTTTCCCTTCCATCGTGTCCTTCATATTTTGAGTTTGCCAAATAGGCCACTTTACTGAGTAGTGGTGTATTTCTTGGCTTTCCTGCACCAAAGTTACCTGCTGTCAGTCAAACAAGCTGGCTTCTACGGGGTTAGCCAGACCCGAGAGCCCTTGGCTTTCCTATCTGCAAAGGTTAAGGGGTAATTTTGTACCCCAGGACTTCTCTGTAGTTTTTGAAATTTTCTGAAGTGACCCTAGCCACAGGGCCAGCTGTTCAGAGCCCTGTGCTGCCCCCAGCCACCTCAACCTGGGCTGCCTTTTCTTTCTAGAAGCCCAGTTTTCTTCCCACACAGGCCCCTCTCCGGGTGCTGTTGAGCCTTGCTTCATTCTGGGGCATTTTTCTTTCTTGCTTTTCTTTTCTTTGTTCCATCTTAAAGTTTTTTTTTTTCCCTTTTTTTTCTTTTCCTTTTTCTGCATTTGATCTTGGTTTTTGACTTTTTTTTTTTTTTTCAGTTTTTGTTGTTGTTGTTGTGGTCGTGGTTGTTTTTGTCGTTTTGTTCTTGTTTTTAGTACTCTTTCCTCCCTCCCTTCCCCATCCCATTTCCAAACCCCCGAAGTGTCTGAGGATGCCGCAGAAAATTGGGACTTGGTCCAGTAACAGGAATGGAGGGCAGGGAGTGGCCAGACCTGGCAGGGACTCAAGAAGGGCAGGGGGACCGAGTCATCTGGTCAGAGGGGAGCTCTGGAGGGCCAAGTCTAGGGGGTGTCAGGCAATGAAGATGGAAAGGAAAAGGCGGGCCCAAAGGTCAGTGCTGGAACTTAAAAGCCAGTCTCCTCCCCTTGGTCCCACATTTCACCACACCTGCCAGACACAACCCTGGTCAAAAGCCCTGGTTCTGAGTGTGTGGGATGGAGCCTCCCTCCCCAGCAATTTTCTGGGAGGATTTTTTAGTCTAGAATCTATTCTTCCATTCTATTCCTTTCTTCCCAGGCTGCTGGGAACTAGGGTAGGAAAGAGAGGAAAGAGGAATGGAATGAAGACAGGTTGAGGCTTGGAGGAGGAGGGGTTCCTCTCCAAGTTCAGTAAGTCCCTCTAGGTGAGACATGTGGGGGCTGCAGTGTCATGGGAGACAAGCTGCCTGGGCTCAGTGCCTGAGTTTTAGTTTCCTAAGACTTAGTTTCCATTTTGAATTCTAGCAGGTGGTCTAGGGTACAGTGAAGGCACCTAGTCATAGTACAAAGAAGTGGCATCAAGAAGGGTTATTGTAGGGGGCCTCCTCGGTGGTGCAGCGGTTGAGCGCTGGGCTGCGAAGATGTCCGCAGCCTCTGCAGCACCAGTTCGATCCCCGACCACCGGTGAGGGTCCCACAAAAAAAAAAAAAAAGAAGGGTTATTGTAGAGGGAGATGAAGGTAAGAAGGTTCAGAGTGGGAAGAGGTCTCCTTCAGCCCCAGAGGAGCCTTCCTGAAGCCTTCCTGAAGGAGGGAGCATTTGAGCTGGGCTCTGAAGGGAGTGTATTTTAGTCAGAAACCTCTAGAGGCTGGGGGTCACTTCATGGAGAATGGGAATTGAAGGGATGTGAAAGGGGTCAGAGACAGAAGTGGGGGAGGGGAAGGGCTACAAGAGGGTCACCCCCAGATGCAGTCTGCTGCCTCAGCCCTGATTAGGGGCATGCTTGCTCCCACTTTCTAGCATTTCTCTATTAGTTCAGGGAGGGTCAGGCATGGGGGGGTAATGGGGGCAACACATTTGGTGACTAACATTCACTGTCCTGCTAACTGCTACCCCCGCAGCCTGGTGAGACCCTGCCCCCTCTAATGTTGTCTTCCTTCTCCCCCCAGCAAGTTCTGGCCACAAAGACGGGGGTAAGTACAAGCCCAGGGAGAGGGGAGTGGGCAACAGCTAGAGATTGTCAGGGTTGGGCCAATACCCAGGACTACGGGCTGCTCCAGGCTCCCAGACCATCAGCACCAGGGCTGACAGACATCTCTACCCGCCACCAACAGGGCACCCTTGAGGACCAAATCATTGAGGCAAACCCTGCTATGGAGGCTTTTGGCAACGCCAAGACCCTGCGGAACGACAATTCCTCTCGTTTTGTGAGTGGCCAGAGTGGGAGCATGGAGTGGGGGCACAGCAGGGTTTGCAGCAGGGGGACGAAGGTGGTGGGGACCCTTCAGTACACAGGGCATCACTGGCTGGAACCCCAACTAAGTCTGCCCTCTTGCCCACAGGGCAAGTTCATCCGCATTCACTTCGGTCCCTCTGGGAAGCTGGCATCCGCAGATATCGACAGCTGTGAGTCTGGGAGAGGGCAGGAATGGGGCAGACAGAGGCCTAGGCCTGAGTCTTCCTGCCCTGACTAAACATCCTTCGTCAGATCTTTTGGACTCCTGCCTATTCCAGGCACTTTTCTCCATCTCCCAGTTCAGGCCACCTCACCTCTCACCTGGAACATTCTACCAGCCCCTGTATGGTCTCCCAACCTCCCCTCCTCTCTTGATCTTCCAGCCAGAGTGATCTGATCTCCAGGACCCTAATCTGATCAAAACCCTTTCCTACATGAAACTTGCCTTTCCTGAAAACTTTCTAGATCCCATCACCTTCAGCTGGAGACCCAAATCCTTATTTGGCCAAATAACTTGTGCCTGGGCCCTTAGCTTTCCCAGGCTTTTCTCTGGTCCCTGACAGAGCAGGCTTGGCCTGTGTGCCCCTCCCTCCCCCACTAGCCTCATTTCCATGCATCAAGTCCCCCTCTTTCCCAGAGCCGCCCCTGATGCCTTCCTAGGGCTGTCATCCATCCCCCTGGCCCGGCCCTGCTGCACAGACCTGGTGCCCAGGCCACACAAACAGAGGGGCATTTCCCACACTGGGATGCAGGACCAGATCCTGACCCATAAGCAGGGGCACCTGGTGACAGTGGCAGGAAATGTAGTGCAAGCCCCGACGCCCACGTGCAGACACACGGAGGCTGTGCTACGCGCATGTGAACACAGCGCTGCTCTGGAGGGGGAGCGTGTGATCCGTGGTGGAGGGAGGAATGGAAGCTTAAGTGAAAGGATGAACAAATGGAAACCCACCCATGGACACTACATTCACGCGCCACACGCCGAGGCCAAGACTGAGAGACGGGACACACGCATTCCTGCACTGGCTTAAGCACCCATGGACAGACCCCCTTCAGCACAGGCCGGCAGGTGTTCCCGGGGCCCTCTGCACACGCCCCTGCCCCGCACAGCACCTCCTCCCTGCCTCTGCATACCTAGCGTAGGGTAGCGACCCCCCTGGGCCTGTGCGGGGGCAGTGGGCCGGTCCTCCCTTTCTCCCAGATCTCCTGGAGAAGTCGCGGGTGATCTTCCAGCTGCCTGGTGAGCGTGGCTACCATGTGTACTACCAGATCCTCTCAGGGAAGAAGCCAGAGCTGCAGGGTGAGGGCCGGGGGGATGGGCCAGAACCCACGGGTGGGTTGGAGATGGGGCTGATCAGCTCCTTCCTGGCCCTGTCAGAACTGGAAAGTCTGTTCCCTCGCTGTGCTGGGATCTGTGACATCGCTTCCTTCCTGGGCACTCCACTCCCATTTCCTCGGACTTCTGGTGGTTGCTGAGCCCCTCTTCCTGGTGCTGGAGAACAGGACTCTTAGTACCGTTGTCCTTCCTGTTCTGAAACTAGAGATGCCCCCTTAGCACCAAGGGGAACTGATAGCTCTGTTGAGGTGCAGCTCCCCTCTCTTAAAAGTCCCTCAAAGGCAGAGTCTGGTCCTCCTGTGCCCCAGCACTGAGCACAGGGTTTGGGCCAAGGGGATTGCCATGGGTCATGGTCAAGGGATGAGTAAGATGTGGGATCTGGGGTTCATTCCTCAGAGAACCATATAGAGAAACCTGGGCAATGGCCACTAGAGAGGAGTCCTGAGAGGACCCAGACTCTCCTGCTGGGCTGGTCCTGGGGGGCCCCTCCTGCTGGGCTGCGGGGAGAGGACAGCCTGGGGAACACAGCCTAACACACCCTTCTCTACCCTGTTTCCCCCAGACATGCTGCTTCTGTCGATGAATCCCTACGACTACCACTTCTGCAGCCAGGGTGTCATCACCGTGGACAACATGAACGACGGGGAGGAGCTCATGGCTACTGACGTACGGCTGGGGCGGGAGGGGGGGAGAGCAGGGCGCCTGCAGCGTGGGGCCATGTGAGCCCGGGGGGAGATCAGGGAGCGGTTCCCTGGCCCTTCGCTTAGCTGGCCCTTCTCTGATCCCACTGTTCTGCCACAGCATGCCATGGACATCCTGGGCTTCAGTGTGGACGAGAAGTGTGCCTGCTATAAGATCGTGGGCGCGCTCCTGCACTTCGGCAACATGAAGTTCAAGCAGAAGCAGCGGGAGGAGCAGGCTGAGGCCGATGGCACTGAGAGTGAGGCTCCCTGCCCCTGCTCTGGGTGGTCGTCTCAAACCTGGCCCCAGCATCCTGTCCATGACCATTGTTAACCCTCACCCTTGTCCACAACCTTTGACCTCCATCTCGCCTGGTCCTAACTGTAACCCCTGAGTTTTCAGCTCCAGAGCTTCACCTTCCTGAGTTGTCCACTTTGCTAGCCCTGAACTTTACCCTTCCCAACCTCCCTCTCTTAGACCTACGCCACTAGGGCCCCCATTACCTGCATTCTTGGCCTCCTCCCTTCTCACCACACCCATGCGCCCTACCAGGTGCTGACAAGGCTGCTTACCTGATGGGGGTCAGCAGTGGGGACCTCCTCAAAGGCCTTCTGCACCCCCGAGTGCGTGTAGGGAATGAGTACGTGACCAAGGGCCAGAGTGTGGAGCAGGTGAGACTCTTGTAGGCCACTGCATACCTGGGGACAGTTAGGGCAATGCCCATCCCTGCCCGGTTCTAGCCCAGCTCTCCACTCCTCAGGTGGTGTTTGCCGTGGGGGCTCTGGCCAAGACCACCTACGACCGACTATTCCGGTGGCTGGTGTCAAGGATCAACCAGACGCTGGACACGAAGCTGCCCCGCCAATTCTTCATTGGGGTCCTGGACATCGCTGGTTTTGAGATCTTTGAGGTGAGCTCTTGCAGCTCCCAGCTCCTCTGTGGGCCTCCCTGTGCCCATCCACAAGGAGGCCCTCTGAGCCCATGCCTCCCTCTGCAGTTTAACAGCTTCGAGCAGCTGTGCATCAACTTCACCAACGAGAAGCTGCAGCAGTTCTTCAACCAGCACATGTTCGTGCTGGAGCAGGAGGAGTACAAGCGGGAGGGCATTGACTGGGTCTTCATTGACTTCGGCCTGGACCTGCAGCCCTGCATTGACCTCATCGAGAAGGTGCGGCCTGGGCGAGCAGAGTGTGATGAACGTGTTGTGCTTGTTTGTGAGCGAGCGTGTGCATGTGCTCATGTGGCTGTGCACTGCGGTGAGTCTGTTATGTGTGTGCGGCTGTGACCGCGTGTGCCTGCACATGTGTATGATCAGGAGCGTGCATGTGTTGGAGTTTGCATGTGAATGCGTGTCAGTGGTACGTGTGAGCATGTGTGCATTCTAGCACTGCTGACAAGAGGCCCTCTTGAGTGCACCCGGTTCCGCAGTCACATTGACCCCCTCAGAACCGCCCAGGGAGCAGGCCAGGCCAGGGTGTGTTTGCTTATTTGTTTATTTGACTGTGAAACATTATGTTTTTCCCCTTTGCACAAAGAATGGAAGAAAGAAAATCAGAAAAATCAGAAGGGGGTCAAAATAATTCCCCCTAATTCTGCCACAGCCTGTATCTCGGCACTTTGGTTAGTTTCCTCCAATTCCTTTACCCTGGGCATCCCCTCTGTATTAGAGACACCGACTCATGTCTCCTTTGTTTCCTCTGAGAGTGTATCTTGGACACTGTACATTGTTGGTCTCCACACTCCCAGTGTTCATGTGTGTCTGTCTCTTGCAGTAGGACATTAGGGTGTTGATAGTTTTTCTGCTACAGCAGCACTGGGTCCCCCATTTTGTAGGTTGGGGAATTCAGGCTTAGGTCTCAAGGGCCCACAGCGAACAAGTGAAGAAGCCAGAATAAACTCAACTGCTTTTTTTTGACTGTATCGTCTGTGAGACCACAGATATGGGGGATGGGAAGGTCAGTGGGGACAGAGATGCCAGTTTGAGTTTGCACCCTTTTCATCAACAGAGAGGACGACTCTGAGCTCTGAATTGGCAGAAGGAGCGGGAAGCCAAGTCACAAACTTTTCTTTCTCAGAAAAACAGGGCTCTTGAGATCATCTAGTCTGTCACTCCTAGTAGCTGGTGGGGTTGGGGGTTCTGGGAAGGTTCCCATAAGCGGGGGGCAGCTCCAGGAAATGGTCATCCAGCCCTGGAAGGATGCGACAGAGACCCTTCACACTTGCTCCCTCTCCCCAGCCGCTGGGCATCCTGTCCATCCTGGAGGAGGAATGCATGTTCCCCAAGGCCTCCGATGCCAGCTTCCGGGCCAAACTCTATGATAACCACTCTGGGAAGTCGCCCAACTTCCAGCAGCCTCGGCCTGACAAGAAGCGCAAGTACCAGGCCCACTTTGAGGTCGTCCACTATGCAGGCGTGGTGAGTACCCGTGGGAATTGTGGCTTTTGTCCACACTTCCTTCTCTGGGTTCTGCCACCTGAGCCAGCGCTTATCTGGTCTCTGCCAGGTGCCTTACAGCATCGTGGGCTGGCTGGAGAAAAACAAGGATCCTCTGAATGAGACAGTGGTCCCCATCTTCCAGAAGTCACAGAACAAGCTCTTGGCTACCCTCTATGAGAACTACAGTGGCTCCTGCTCCAGTGAGTACCAGGGCACGTGGTCATTCTGTGGGGGACTCGGTGATGTTCTAGGAGTGTGACTGGTCCCATGTTTCTCCTAGCTGAGCCCCCCAAATCTGGAGTGAAGGAAAAGCGTAAGAAGGCAGCATCATTCCAGACTGTGTCCCAGCTGCATAAGGTAAGGCCCAGTCTGGGCCTCCTGCAGGCCCAACCCTGCCGGCCTCCAGCCCGTCCCTCGCTCCCGCTCGTCCCCTGCACCCTGGGCGGGCGGCGGTTAAGACTTGCAGTGATGTTTAACTCCTCTCATGTGAACATCACAGCAAGTCTGTGCTGCTTCCCGTCCCCACTCTGCCTGGGCAGGGTTTAGGGGGCACTAGGTGAGGCCTATAGGGGCCCGTGGGAGGGATGGGGAAGGGGTGGGTGAGTCAAACAGAAAGCGGCAAAGGGTCATGGGGAATAGAGAGTGAAGGGGCAGCGTGCCCAGCTCACCAGCCCTTAGAGGGCGGAGCCACTGCTGCTTCCACTTCTGCTTCTCTGCCCCTCTTGTACCTCCTCCCCTCTCCTCACCCCCAGGAGAACCTCAACAAGCTGATGACCAACCTGCGGGCCACGCAGCCCCACTTCGTCCGTTGCATTGTCCCCAATGAGAACAAGACTCCAGGTATCACCCGGGGCTGGGCTAGTGGGGAGGGGCGATGTCGGGAGGAGGGAAAGGGGCAGACTAGAGCCCAGCCGCCCCCTCCCTGGGGCCCGCACAGCCTCAAAGCAAGTGCCCTGTCGGGACAGCACGAGGTCTTGGCCACGACCTCTAGCCTTCTCCCTGACTCCCAACATGCCCAGGGGTCATGGATGCCTTCTTGGTGCTACACCAGCTTCGCTGCAACGGGGTTCTGGAGGGGATCCGGATCTGCCGCCAAGGGTTCCCCAACAGGCTGCTCTACACAGACTTCCGGCAGCGGTGGGTGTCTGTCTCCCTGTCCAAACCCCAGTTCTTCCCAACTCCCCCTGCACGGCCATCTCCTTACCCTGCTAGCCTTCCACAGGGGGATACAGCTGCCTGAGGGAGTGGGAAGGGTACAGGCTTAGAGCCAGCCCCCCAGGTTCTCCTCACCCAGGAGGAGGCAGGGGGCTGGGAGGGAGCTGGCCAGGCAGTGGGAGAGGGCGGTGGCTATGGTTTGGGGTAAATATTGGCGGTACAGCCAGTAGATCTCACCGATGAGTTGGACACAGAGTAAGAATGAAAGAGAAAAAGATAAGGGCGGTTCAAGATTTGGTGAGGAGCGCGTGTTCTGGGTTTTGCCTTGCCACTGTGGCCATGTCCCGCATGGCTGCTCACACGCGCGCGTGACCCTTTTAGAGAGCGGACATGCGGGAACCCTTGCTCTTACGGATTACCGCCCAGAGGTTTCTTTACTTTGTGATATGCTAGGCTACATCGCCTCCTTTATATTATTCACCTTCTCCAATTAAATTATACATTAAAAAGTTATAAAAGTGCTATGTGATCTTTGTAAATATTGCCGCCTCCTAACTACCAAATGCATCTCAAGGCAACCTGGGTGTGGCCATGACTCCCACCAGCTTGTTCAGTGTGTGCCCCGGACCCTCTGCTCCAGCCTCTGGAAGGTCAGGAACATTTCCCTGTACCCCACCCAGTCTCCTTACCAGCTCTTCACTGCTCTCCCAGGTACCGCATCCTGAACCCCAGCGCCATCCCGGACGACACCTTTGTGGACAGCAGGAAGGCCACAGAGAAGCTGCTGGGTTCTCTGGACATCGACCACATCCAGTACCAGTTTGGCCACACCAAGGTCAGGGCACACACAACTGCCCTTGGCTGTGGGTGGCCACACTGGACAGGGGACACACTGACAGTTGAGGGCTGCACCTGTCTCCCCTCACCCCTAGGTGTTCTTCAAGGCTGGGCTTCTAGGCGTCCTGGAGGAACTCCGCGACCAGCGCCTGGCCAAGGTCCTGACACTGCTGCAGGCTCGGAGCCGGGGCCACCTCATGCGCCTTGAATACCAGCGCCTGCTTGGAGGCAGGTAGGTGTGGGAAGGTGGAACACAGGGGCCGGCCAGTGACCACTGGCCCCTGCCTCACAGTACCACCAGGCCTCCAGAACCTGTCAGTACAGTGGGCCAGACCATCCCCCTGGCTGGTTGGGATGTCTCTGCAGGGATATGGTTTTGTTTTGTGCCATTCAACCTCCAGCTTCCAAGCCATGGGCATGGTACCTGATTTGTACTGTCCTAGTTAAAGTACAGGACAGCTCCGAGGGGTGCTAGAATGATCTCTGGCCAGTGGAGGGATGTCTGAGTCAGAGATCTGGGCACAGGGGGCTAGTGGTGGGAGCGGGAGGCTGGGATATGAGCCCAGAAAGTCTGCCCCTAGAGCCCAAGTGTAGGGATACACACGTGGCACCTTCAGAACACACTTGGGGTTCTGTGCTCCCCCTGGAGGCAGACTATGTGACCTGGCACCTCTCCTCCAAACTCACTTATAAAGCAGAGGCATCAGAACCTACTGGAGAGGCTCAGGGAAGATACATGGGCTCATGCACTGAAGTGCTTAGTTTGATGCTGGCCCAGGGTAGGTGGTCGGGGAACGTCAGGGCTGGTAGTAAGAAGGGACAGCATGACTCTCCTGGCCCCGATGTGTCCCCACATCCCAGGGAGGCCCTGTTCACCATCCAGTGGAACATCCGTGCCTTCAATGCTGTCAAGAATTGGTCATGGATGAAGCTCTTTTTCAAGATGAAGCCACTGCTGCGCTCAGCACAGGCCGAGGAGGAGCTGGCAGCACTGCGGGCAGAGCTGCGGGGGCTGCGAGGCACCCTGGCCGCTGCTGAGGCCAAGCACCGGGAGCTGGAGGAGACACACGTCAGCGTCACCCAGGAGAAGAATGACCTGGCTCTGCAGCTGCAGGCAGTGAGTGTGGAAGGGGAGGGATTGCCCTGGGATCTGGTGACCCTGACATTCCAGAGAAACCCAGGCTGCTCCAAGAAATACTGCATGTCCCCCGGCCAGGGAGGACCTTGGTATATGTGGGGTGCCCAGGTGTCACCTGAATCTTCCCCTCAGTTCCTGAGGCGCTGAGATGAGGCCTGCAGGCTGGTGTCCATGCTCAGCTTCCCATGTGCCCTAATGACCCCCCCTCCCCGTGCCACTTGGCTTTCTTCTAAGCTGCGGGGGAGCCCCCATTTCCCCAGCACTCCCCTTGTCATCCCTGAGATAGACCTAGCCCCTTTCTGTGGTGAAAGGAAGCCAGAAGGCAGGTAACAGTTACAACCAGAGGGCAGAAACCAAAGGTCTAGAATCTCCCCAAGTTCACGGAGCCACTTCGTCCTTCAGCAAACACTCTGAGTGACCTGATGCTAGGCTCCATGCTCGCTCTGGAGACACACTGGTAGGAAGACAGAGATGGACCTGGGGTCACAAAATGCACCGTCTAGTGCAGGAGACGTGGAGGTAGCTAGGCAGTGACAAAGTGCCCCTGTGACTGTGCAGGGCTCGCTGCTCCCACCCCACCCCTGAGGAGACCTCAGCCCAGCGCTCCTCTCCTGGTGTCCCAGCTTGTCTGATGTACCCTTCTTGCCTCCTGTGCTGCCTCACCCGAGCCCTTTGGGGCCACGAGCAGGTCACAGTATTCTTCGCTCCCCAGGGCCCCACTGAGCCAAACCTTTCTTCAGCAAGTTTACCTGGCATCCCCACGTCCCCCTCTAGGAGCAGGATAACTTGGCGGATGCTGAGGAGCGCTGCCACCTGCTGATCAAGTCCAAGGTGCAGCTCGAGGCAAAGGTGAAGGAACTTAGCGAGCGGCTAGAGGACGAAGAGGAGGTGAACGCTGACCTGGCTGCCCGCCGGCGCAAACTGGAGGACGAGTGCACAGAGCTCAAGAAGGACATTGATGACCTGGAGCTGACGCTGGCCAAGGCCGAGAAGGAAAAGCAAGCCACTGAGAACAAGGTGTGGGCTGGGCCTGCTTGTAGAGAAGAGCCAGAGCCAGGAGGCCCGTGGTGGGGCTCTTGGCTCTGCCTCCCTCTTGCAGTCTGGCCTTGGGCAGGTCACTTTCCCTCTGTGGGCCTCAATTTCCTCATCTGTTAAATGGGGTAAATAATGGCACCTCCCTCTCTAAGGTGGGTAAGCAGGCAGTGTGTGATTAGCCTTTGCTAGCACTCGCCACAGGGCTTTGCACGCAGTACGAGCCCAGCGATCCCAGTGATGGTCATTCATCCTGGCCTCAAGCCCTTTGACAGCAGGAGCCCCATTGCTGCCTCCTCTGGTGCCTTCTGTCTTTGAAGCCTTAGCCCCTGTGGTTCACAGGATGGGAAAGCGAGGCTTTAGGGGCACGCTGCTTATGCAGATCTGAAACACCTGTTTATACCAAAAATAACTGGCACCAATTATCTGTCCCTCTGGGCCAGACACTGTGCCAAATTTGTGAGCATTTTGTTCATTAATCCCTCAGTACAACTCGAGGAGTGGGGCATTATCATCTCCGAAGGATGAAGAAATCGAGGCTCAGAATGAAGTGACTTGCTCAGGGTTTCCTAGCAGTAAGGGGTGGTTGCTCTGAACAGTGTGAGGGGGAGGCCCATGGTGACCCCAGCCCTGGCACAGGTGAAGAACCTGACAGAGGAGATGGCAGCACTGGACGAGTCAGTGGTCCGAGTGACCAAGGAGAAGAAGGCGTTGCAGGAGGCCCACCAGCAAGCCCTGGGTGACCTGCAGGCCGAGGAGGACCGTGTGAATGCACTGGCCAAGGCCAAGATCCGGCTGGAGCAGCAGGTGGAAGATGTGAGTTGAGCCACTGTAGAGGGCTGTGGGCTGGAGCCGGGCCCTCCATTGGTGGCTGGCTGGGCCCAGTGACGGAGCCCCCCACCCCACAGCTGGAGTGCTCCCTGGAGCAGGAGAAGAAGCTGCGCATAGACACGGAGCGGGCCAAGCGCAAGCTGGAGGGTGACCTCAAGCTGACACAGGAATCAGTGACAGACGCTGCCCAGGACAAGCAGCAGCTGGAGGAAAAGCTCAAGAAGTAGGTGTGGGTTGGCAGCAGACCTGACCCCCTAGCTGGCAAGGGGCCTCCATGCCCGCCCTCTTGCATTTCACTATCTCTGGACTAGTCATTTCTGAGTTACTGCAGACATGGAACAAAGGCTGAGATGGGGGGGTGGGGGGGGTCACTAGAATGCAGGGGATAGTATCCTGCCCTCCCTGGACCAAGGGGCCTGGTCAGGCTTCGAGGCTGGGGCAAAGCACGTAGGGCTGCTCCAGAGGGCCTCAGGCGGGGTGTGTGCTGGGGTAGGGAGTGCAGGTTGCCTCACCTGGGGTAGGGAAGTCAGGACCTGGGCTACTCCCTACCCTGTGACCTCCAGGAAGGACTCTGAGTTGAGTCAGTTGAACCTGCGGGTGGAGGATGAGCAGCTCCTCGGGGCCCAGCTGCAGAAGAAGATCAAGGAGCTGCAGGTGTGTGGGGGTTGGAGGCCGGCGGGAACCCTGATCAGAGCCCCGCAGAGGTGACAACTGTGGCCTCTCCAACCCAGGCTCGGGCAGAGGAGCTGGAAGAGGAGCTGGAGGCGGAGCGGGCAGCCCGGGCCCGCGTAGAGAAGCAGCGGGCAGAGGCAGCTCAGGAGCTGGAGGAGCTGAGTGAGCGGCTGGAGGAGGCTGGCGGTGCATCAGCTGGGCAGCGTGAGGGCTGCCGAAAGCGGGAGGCCGAGCTGGGGCGGCTGCGGCGGGAACTGGAAGAGGCAGCACTGCGGCACGAAGCCACGGTGGCCACCCTGAGGCGCAAGCAGGCGGACAGTGCAGCCGAGCTGGGCGAGCAGGTGGACAGTCTGCAGCGGGTGCGGCAGAAGCTGGAAAAGGAGAAGAGTGAGCTCCGCATGGAGGTGGACGATCTGGGTGCCAATGTTGAGATGCTGGCCCGTGGCAAGGTAACCGCCTCCTTTCTGACCCCTGGCTGTCCCCAAACCCATCCTGACCCTCCCTCCCCGCTCCAGCAGCTGCCACCCGCTGACTCACACCTGTCCCGACCTAAACCCTGACACTTCCAGCTTATTTTGACCCAGTGTGCAGTTCACAGTCTGTGACCTCTGAACTCTGACCTGTGCTGACTGTTCCTGTTCTCAACCCCAGCACCCAACACTGACCCCTAATAGTATCTGCTGACTCTGAACACTGTTCCAATCTGACTTCAGGTTCTAGTATCCTAACCTTACAGTGACCTACCGGCCTTGGACAAGTCTAGCCCTCTCACTTCCGATGTACAACCGTTAGGTCATAGCCCAGCAGTAGAATCTGACCCTGAACCTGGGACTCTGCTCCCCCTTCAATTCCTGGGCCTTTGTCTAATCTTCTAGTTCCCAGCCCCAGGCCCCGGTCTGATTGGCAGCCTTAGTGCCTGCCCTTGGATTCACACTTATCCTAACTCCTGACCCTGGATCCCAGGCCAGTGCAGAGAAGCTGTGCCGGACCTATGAAGATCAGCTCAGTGAGGCCAAGATTAAGGTGGAGGAGCTGCAGCGGCAGTTGGCAGACGCAAGCACCCAGCGTGGGCGGCTGCAGACTGAAAGCGGTGAGGCCAGAGGCTCAGTTGGGCCGCCTGGGGCGGTGCTGCCCCTCTGCTGGTCTGACCTGCCTGCTTCCCCTTGACTACAGGGGAGCTAAGCCGCCTGCTGGAGGAGAAGGAGTCTCTGATCAGCCAGCTGAGTCGTGGGAAGGCCTCGGCCACGCAGAGCCTGGAAGAACTGCGGAGGCAGCTAGAGGAGGAGAGCAAGGTGGGCAGACCACTAGTTGCCACAGAGGGGGCAGGGTGGGCACTGGGGCCACCAACTGGACCGATGCTGAGGTCACCAGGGTCCCTGCAGGCCAAGAGTGCGCTGGCCCACGCCGTGCAGGCTTTACGGCATGACTGTGACCTCCTGCGAGAGCAGCACGAGGAGGAGGCCGAAGCGCAGGCTGAGCTGCAGCGCCTGCTATCCAAGGCCAATGCTGAGGTGGCCCAGTGGCGGAGCAAGTACGAGGCAGATGCCATCCAGAGGACCGAGGAACTGGAGGAGGCCAAGTGAGTGCCGCATCAGCCAGTCGGCGCCACACCAGGGGATACCTGTGCCTCTGAATGCTGTCGGGGCGAGGGAGCATAGGGCCCTTCCACTAGCCTCCCTGCCCACTCAGTCCGTACCCCGTCTGCTCCCATGGCCAGAAAGAAGCTGGCACTGCGGCTGCAGGAGGCAGAGGAGGGAGTAGAGGCCGCACACGCTAAGTGCTCATCCCTGGAGAAGGCCAAGTTGCGGCTGCAGACAGAGTCGGAGGACGTGACCCTGGAGCTGGAGCGGGCAACCTCAGCGGCTGCCGCGCTGGATAAGAAGCAGCGGCACTTGGAGCGGGCCCTGGAAGAGCGGCGGCGGCAGGAGGAGGAGATGCAGCGCGAGCTGGAGGCAGCCCAGAGGGAGGCGCGCAGCCTGGGGACTGAGCTCTTCCGGCTGCGGCACAGCCATGAGGAGGCTCTTGAGGCTCTGGAGACAGTCAAGCGAGAGAACAAGAACCTGCAGGGTACAAACCACCCCAGGGTCAGAAAGCTACTCTGGGGTCATTGGGAGCACCTTGGAGTCACAAAGGGTACCCTGGTGGGGTCACCCTGGAGTTAGGGGTGAATAAAGTGACCTGGGTTAGAGCATGAGTCCTGTGGGTGGCCCTTAGTGCCTTGTCTGCTCTCCAGAGGAGATCAGTGACCTCGCAGACCAGGTCAGCCTCAGCGGGAAGAGCATCCAGGAGCTAGAGAAAGCCAAGAAGGCGCTGGAAGGGGAGAAGAGTGAACTCCAGGCTGCACTGGAGGAGGCAGAGGTTAGGGGGTGGGGTGGACACCGGCCCTTCTGCTCCCCCAGCTCCTCCATCACTTAACACATGATCCTGGTTTCCACCTGCACACTGCCTACGCTGCGCACAGGGGGCCCTGGAGCTGGAGGAGACCAAAACGCTGCGGATCCAGCTGGAGCTATCCCAGGTCAAGGCTGAAGTGGACCGGAAACTGGCCGAGAAAGACGAGGAGTGCGCTAACCTAAGGTACGGAGCCTGGGGCCATTGCTGCCCAGGACTGCCCAAAGCTCCAGCCCTCCTCTCTGGGGCTTCCAGCTCCTGCTGGCAACCCCACCCCAGCTACTCAAAGGCCACTTGAAGGAAAGCTGTGTTTGTTTGAGCCCCACTGTGCATGGGTTGGCACAGATTGAGTTTGCCCACATGACTTTGTTAGGTCAGGATTATCGTCAAGTTTAGAGGTAAACCTCAGAGATGCTAAAGAACTTGTCCAAGGTTACACAATGGAGACGAAACCAGAGTTCAGCCAATGTCTGTGTGCCAGAGCCTCACTCTACCCATGAACCTGTTTTGATGGGCAGCAGGCAGTCACAAGGGCTTGAAACCAGAGATGGACATGTCACGTATGGGTTCATGTCTCCCATGTTCCATAGGTGTTTTCAAGAGCAGGTGTGGTGCTCTTGCCTACCTTCCCTCAGACCAAGACCCCCACCTTTCATCCTTCCTCTCTCAGGCGCAACCATCAGCGGGCAGTGGAGTCCCTGCAGGCCTCCCTGGATGCAGAGACACGGGCCCGAAACGAGGCGCTGCGGCTCAAGAAGAAGATGGAAGGTGACCTCAACGATCTAGAGCTGCAGTTAGGCCATGCCACCCGCCAGGCCATGGAGGCCCAGGCAGCCACACGGCTGCTGCAGGCCCAGCTCAAGGAGGAGCAGGCAGGGCGGGATGAGGAGCAGCGCTTAGCAGCCGAGCTCCGCGAGCAGGCACAGGCCTTGGAGCGGCGGGCTGCGCTGCTGGCCTCGGAGCTGGAAGAGCTGCGGGCTGCCCTGGAGCAGGGTGAGCGCAGCAGGCGGCTGGCAGAACAGGAGCTGCTGGAGGCCACCGAGCGCCTCAACCTCCTGCATTCACAGGTGAGGACTGGGTGAGGGGGTGGGTGTATGGGGAAGCCGCAGCCTGTGGCTGTCTCTGAGGCTCTGCTTTCTCCCAGAACACAGGCCTCCTGAACCAGAAAAAGAAGCTAGAGGCGGATTTGGCCCAGCTGAGTGGGGAGGTGGAGGAGGCTGCCCAGGAGAGGCGGGAGGCTGAAGAGAAGGCCAAAAAGGCCATCACTGATGTGAGGCTGGACTGGGGCTATAGGGAGCTCGGGCCAGAGCCCAAGGGGACTTCCACTGGGGCTGGTTATCTCCTGCCCATGCTACCTCCTGTCCTGTAGGCAGCCATGATGGCCGAGGAGCTGAAGAAGGAGCAGGACACGAGCGCACACCTGGAACGGATGAAGAAGACACTGGAGCAGACAGTGAGGGAGCTACAAGCACGGCTGGAGGAGGCAGAACAAGCTGCCCTCCGTGGTGGGAAGAAGCAGGTGCAGAAGTTGGAGGCTAAGGTATGGGTAGCCCTCCTGGTCCCTTCCTCTGCAGGGTGAACTGGCAGGCTGGGGTACCAGGCCCATCCCCTGGCTGCTCGCAGGTGCGGGAGCTGGAGGCTGAACTGGATGCAGAGCAGAAGAAGCACGCCGAGGCCCTCAAGGGGGTGCGGAAACATGAGCGCAGAGTCAAGGAGCTTGCATACCAGGTGGGGACTAGGTTCACCTTAAGGGGAGGCCTTGGTCATGCAAATGCTGAGTCCCTTTTGCCTGTCCAGGCTGAGGAGGACAGGAAGAACCTGGCTCGCATGCAGGACCTGGTGGACAAGCTACAGAGCAAGGTCAAGAGTTACAAACGCCAGCTTGAGGAGGCGGTGAGTCACTGTGGTACTGGCACCGGGGGCCTAGTTCAGGTCAGGACGCATGTGGTGCCCCCACTCAATTGCTGGCCCCTGGCTTTGCCGCCAGGTGGGGTGTACCATTCTGGGTCATGGCTTCAGCAGCGCGGGTTTTGTGTCTAGTTAGGCTGCCCGAGACTGGTAGCACTGTCCTCCCACCCTGTCCCAGCAGTGGGAGAGGTAAGTTTCTAATAGCCTCAGCAAGAGGCAAGGCCTAGTTCTGGCTCCCTGAAGGTACCCATGTGCTTTTCCCCAGGCCAGGAAGCCTGACACATGGGCACTTCTGAAAGGAGTGTCTTCACTCCCTTCCTGCTCTGGGTAGTGGTGAGGGGATCAGAATGACCACCTCAGTTACCAAAGGCCTGTGTGCCCCCAGGAGCAGCAGGCCAACACTAACCTGGCCAAGTATCGCAAAGCCCAGCACGAGTTGGATGATGCGGAGGAGCGAGCCGACATGGCAGAAACCCAGGCCAACAAGCTGAGGGCACGGACCCGGGATGCCCTGGGCCCCAAGGTGAGGGGAAGCAGGGTACCACCTGCCTCTGCACAGGTGGGAGGGGCAAAGGGTAGGACGGCAGGTGGTGCAGCTCACTCAGCCTTTCCCATTAGCACAGGAGTGATGCCTGAGCCCCACCCCGGCTCTGAGAAGTACGCCTGCTGTTTGCTACTCACCTTCCTCCAGCTGAGATGTCCTCATTTGCTGTGCCTCAGCACCCCCAAGGCTTCTATACCCTGAACAAATGCCATGGCTGCAGCTCCAGCTGGCTTCCTCCTTCTTTGTTCGGCTCAGGAGGGCAAGGGAGAGCTCACGGTCCCATGGACAAAAGTCAGGTCCACATCAATCATTTAAAATAAAGTTCTTTTTAATAGCCTCCATTTAACTTGTTTATTTGTTGTTAATAAACTGGTAACAGGAGAAGGGTCCGAGGGGGTGCGCCCAGCCAGGCTCCTGTGTGTCTGGGCTCAGGCAGGAGACAATGCAGACCTGGGGCAGGCACAGCCACCCCATGCCCCAAGGATGGAAGGGAAAGGTCCTCAATTTTTGGGGAAACCCCCTGGGATGAACACAGAGGCCAATGAGCAAAGAGAACCAGAGGAGCTGAAGGGGAAATGAGGGAGGGAGGGACCAAAGGGCAGGCTTGGGGGAAGGTAGCATTCTCTGGTATCCCCCACTCCTGCCCAGGGGCTCAGAAGCCTTTGTCTGGGTCCAAAGGCCAGGGCAAGCTTGGCTCACAGAAGGGGGGGGGCATATATCCCTCCCCAACCCAGGACTGACGGCCAAGAGACTGGGCAGGAGCTCATACAGAGCTATTTTTAAAAATCCCCTTACCGCTGGATGGGCCAGGGTCCAGGGTTCTGAAGGAGGGATAGGCATAATGCCCCATCCTCATCTTGAAGGAACTAAGGTTCCCAATGACCTGGTGCCCTCAGACCCAGGGGCCAAGGGATTCTAGATGCTCCCTCCTGCCAAGCCTGTACCTGAAGACCTGCGGTAGGCCGAGAGCAGCAGGGAGGCAGGGGACAGGAGGGGACAGGGCCAGGCGTGTGGCACGCGTACCCACGCTCACCCGCTCTGGCCCTGGCCCAGCAGCCTCCCAAGGCCAAGCCCAAGGTCACTCCTCAGTGAAGTCCCTGTCTATGTCCATGTAGGGTTCCTCAATGTAGCTGACAAGAGCGGAGGGTGACTGGCGGTCTGGGTTCAACAGGATGGACACAGTCTCTTTCCAGTATGAGAAGCTGATGCAGGAGCTCTGGGCAAAGAGAGAAGGGCTGTGGGGTGCCTGGAGAAACCAGGTCAAACCCAGCACCTGGCAGGGAGTGCCCTGGTAAGGGGACAAAGAGCCACCCATCACTGAGCCCGAGCAGGGACCACATACCCTGATGCCCCGCTGAGGGTCCCTTGGTCTGCTGCCCATGGCCCACCCACCACCCACTTGGGTGAGGCACTCACGTTCTCCAGGCAGGTGCTATCCTTGTCCTTGTGCAGGTAATGTTGCTGCCAAAAACGCAGCAGGTTGTGGAAGTTGTTGAGCAGGAAGCCGGGGTATTTCTTGCTGTGTTCCATCCGCTGCAGCAGCCGCAGGTACAGGGGCAGCCGTTCTTTCCGTCGGGCCAGCATCAGGATCACCAGGCTGGTGTTGAGGCAGCTGACGTTCTCCTACAAAGCCCCAGGCCAGCTGGCTTAGGTACAGTGAGCCAAGGCAGGGAGAATGTACCAGGCCCAGACCCACAAGGGCCCTGGCAGAGTCCACAGGTCACATGCTGAGTTGCCACGGCACAAACCAGAGACTTCCAGGGAAAGGACCAACGCCAGCACTCTGCCCCAGCACCTTCCTGGTCCCCAGCCCACCCACAAGTCATCCCGCCCTGTGGGAACAACACCGGTCTAGCTAAGAGTCTGCTCCTCCTCCAGAATCTGCACTGTTTCTTCTTGGAAGCTTCCAGCTCCCGGATGGTGCCTCAGACACAGCTCTTTAACTTTCAATCAGCACTAGATGCGGAGCCTCAAGACAGAGAGTCTCGGTCTGTTAGTTCACTGCCTCCCCAGTCTCAACAAATACACGATAAAGAACAAAAAATACCCTTTGAGAAGTACCAGTATTACTCTGCTTTAGGAAAAAAAGCTGTAATACTTGGGAAAGGGACAGCTGCGGTTACTCAGAGGAAGGGGGAGTCAACCTCAGGTCCAAGCACAGCACGCAGGGTGAGGAGCGCACTGGCCAGGGGGTCAGACCCTCACCCGTCACTAACCTCAGAGGCTTGCTCCCTCCTCAGGCCTCGTCTGTAAAGTGGGGCACTGGTCCCTTACTGGAAAACATCCTAATAACTTGGAGGGTTTCTTAGTAGCCAAGAAATGGGCCTCGAGAGATACACCACTAGGATGAGGGTGAGAGGTCTGCTCTGTTGGGCTCCACTGGATATGAGGGAAACTATTTCCAATCTCCCTTCTCCTACCATCTGCCAGGGCTTCTCACCTGGGTCAGCGTCTGCACGTGGATGATGTTGATGAGGCGGAAGAGGAAGGACATCTGTGTGGGCACCTGGGATATGTAGGCAAGGAGGCGGCACTCGGACAGGACCTCGGCCACTGGGAACAGAGGCAGGTGTGTGAGCAGTATGGCTTGGCCCACAAGCCTGCCTTCCAAGCCTCTAGTTTAGTTTCTCTTGGCTCCCTCTTGGGAGCCCCCCATTGTCAAGCAACTACAAAAACGGCTGGTCACAGCAGGAACAAACCTCCAGCTGTCCTGCCACCCAGGCCAAGCCTGCATTCTCCTTCGAATCTGCACTAGAGTTCACCACTTTCTCTCCCTGAGGCCCTCCCCCAGGCACCCCCACCTGAGTCTATCTCACCCCACAGTGCTAGTCCAGGAGAGCAAGGGTGTTTTGTTTTCTTGGTTTTTGTACTTTGCTGGCAGCAAAGGTTTCTCACCTTTATTAAAAGTGTGTATGTGCTCATTAAAGGAAACACAGATGACACAGAAAAGTAAAAGCAACAAAGAAAATCACCCAGAGTCACCACACTGACCCCAGTTATTTTGGCATCTGGGGCAGCTACTTTCAGTTATTCTTGTCTCCTTGCTAGAAGATGGATGTCAGATACCAGGGCAGCCACACTGCACTGATTTGCCTTAGCATTCTGACTTTTTCTTACCTTTCATGTCCACCTGGTTTTCAAACCGGTCCAGTGACAGAGTGACGCAGCGCACCAGCATGTTGGAGTCCACCAGCGAGCTGTTAATCTGTTTCAGGAACACCTGGAACTGGAGTAGAGACCAAGCTCAACCTGGAGGAAGTGCTCCTGCTGGACAACCACAGCACTGATCTACCCCAGCCCTGGGTTTCTAACAGGACGACGAAGTTCACCATAGCTGGGTGACCTGCCTTCACCACCTCCTAACAAGCAGGCCCAGCAGGAGCTCAACCCAGACCTTCTGACATCATGTCCAGCATTTTTTGCACAGAAGGATACTGGAATCCTCTCATTTTTAGTTCAACTAACCTGAGTGGGGTCCTGTGGTGAGAGCCTCACACACCAAGGCCATCGCCCTCTGAGGGCTCAGCCCGGTACCCTTCAAACTGTACCAGAGTTGTTTTCATCTCTCACCTAATCCTGCCCGCAACCTGCTCCCCTGTCTAGATTCTCATCTGAGGACGCTGGTGGTTCCAAGGGCAGGACCAGACCCCCCAGAGCTCACCAGGTGGTGGCGGCAAGTTGAGGGTGTAGCCATGGCCTCTCTCACTGAAATTTAATGAATGTTGGCTGCAGACTGCACACTGACTCCCCACCAAGCTCCAATTTAAAACCAGCACCTGAAGGTACGCCAAGATAACTTTTGGCCAATGCAGCAGACCCGTGGAGCCCCGGGTAGTCTTACCTTTGCATCAGTGTTGATGTACTTATTAAATCTCTTGAATGCATCAACGTTGAATTTCATCAGCTCCCCCAGGAGGTCAAAGTAACTCTGCAGCACATCCCTCGACTTGCACTCGCTGTCCACAATGCAGTACAGGATGTGCTGAGGAGTGGTGGGGGGAGACACAGTGAAGGCAGGAAAATGGCTGAGCCCCGGGCCAACAGGCAGATATGGCCCCTGGGCTGTGCTCATCTAAGCTGGTGACCGCCTGCCTCCCACCAGGGCTGGCACGAAGCTCAGACCATGTGACATTTGCTTCCAATATGCATCCAGGTTGACAGAACCTGCTCCCCTGTCTAGATTCTCATCTGAAGATGCTGGTGGTTCCAAGGGCAGGATCAGCCCCCACAAGCTCACCAAGCGGTGGGGGCAAGTTGAGGGTATACAGCCATGGCCTCTGTTGCTTGCCCAGGGCTCAGGCTGTCTCTGACTCTGCTCTGTGGTCACCCAGATGGCCAGGGCTTTCCAGCTTGCAGCAAAGGGAGCCACTGCCAGATGTAACACTGGTTGCTGTCTGAGCACTGAGGCCACAAATGAAGCACAGAGTTTAAGAGCACAGGACAATGGTTTGCAGTTGTGTTTATGAATGAAATTATTTAAGTAAAGTTTACACTAAAATCAATTTTTTAAAATCAAGAACCCAAAGCCTTGATAAAGTTTTCTATGACAGCACAAGTGTTTACATTTCCCTGAAATTACATTGATTTGGATCAGTTCTTTCCCACAGGATTTTAAAAGTCAATTTCTTATTTATAACTTAAAAAAAAACCAAGCATATAGCTTTTGGCCATTTTGTCCCCACTCCCCCTTTGGTATATTTTGCTTCTTATGAAGGTCTTTTTTCAATAAAGGGAAAGTAACTTTTAATCAGAGGCAAACTATCCTCAGGGTTGAAAGGCCTTGGTGGGTGACTATAGGTTCTTATACCCGTCCATGGTCACCTCCCAAATCCCTCAATTCCCAATAATCACCCACGGAGACCCCATAATTGGAAACTTGAGGCAAATACGAGGGCAATCTGTGCTGGCATTTTAAAATAAAGGCATTGGTTGGCTCCCTCCTAGTTATCTAAGTCTCAGGACAGGAAAGCAATGCAAGGGGCTGGGGGGAGAATGGGATACCCGATACCCTGGCTCCTTCAGGCCATTACCTCCAGAAGGCCTCGCTTCAGCAGGAACATCTGGTCTGCATAGGAGGTGGTCCCTCGGAGGAAACTCTCCACAGCCCGGGCTTGCCAAAACCTGCGACCCAAATGTTGACCCCTGGCCCAGGTGGCTAAGGCTGCCCTCTTCTGGCCCATGTCCCATTCCCCCAGGGGTTGGGAGATGTGTGCTGCCTCTTGATTTATTTAACAGACATTTACTGAATATCTAAGCAGGCATCAGTCCTCATACTAGGTGCTGAGAATATAGTGTATTTGTGGAGCTGACAGCCCAGTGGGAATAGTCTTCTATTTGGTTCTCTCTGGAAGGAGGAGGTGACATGTAGATCAAAGGGCTGGCCCCATTGAGTCACATGAGAAAATGTGCACTAGGGTTTGTCCCCTCAGAACAAGAGGGCATGAAAAGACAATCTGGAATGCGTGAGGCAACCTGACAAACATATGCAGATAGGCCACTGAGCCCACTTCTGACGGCTGTCCTATAGGGATGGCAGATACTGACTGAGTGACCCTAGAAGGCAGAGCTGGGACCCATGACCATGAGTCTGGACAAGACAGGCTGAGGTAACAGGAGCACATCTGAGCATGGAGCCGAGTGACACTGTTCGCAACCCAGCTCTGAAGGAAATCCTCTCTCACTGGCTGTTCCTGCCCACAGCTCTCAAGACTCAGCTAGATGAGTCTAAGGAATGTTCAGAAGTGGTCCCTCTGTGCTCATCCCCAAGAGCCCAGCAGAGGAAGGGGTTTTTCTGTTGTCCCATTATAGCTCCTGGACAGGTTCTTGCTCTATACCTTCCCACACTGCATTGCAAAGGTCTTTCCATGCCTGCTTCCCACAACCCAGGGAACTCCATGTGGGCAGAGACTGAATCTCCTATTTCTTTTCCACCTGTCCAGTACCAGCACAGAACATGGGCTTGGTGAATGTTTGGTCAGTTCTCGAAACACACTGCTGATCAGCATTAGAAGCTAATACATGCCTGCGGAGTTGACATGTGGGGAGAGGGCAGCCAAGCCCCTTCCCCCGCAGAAAACAGAAGTCCAAAGTGAAAGTTGGTAACTAAAGGAGGTATACTGAACCCCTTGAGAAACACTTGGCTCCTGTGTGCCTCAGAAGCAGCAGGGGTCTGTCTCCAGACCTACCTGAATGATGACTCGGCTGGTTCCTTCTTCATGACCTGCAGCAGACGAGTTAATAAGCCCCTTTTCCCATCACAGACCAAACTCCTGAAATAAAATAGACAAGGACACTGGTGGCAGAACTGCAAGGCTGATAGGGGTGAACTTCCACCTGGCCAAAGGATCAATCTGGGGGCAATGGGGGTGGGTCTCTCTGCTAGCTTAGGTTGGGGGGAGGTGGGGATATTTCCAAGCCTGGAGGATGCCTTTCCTGTTCTAGCCAGGCCCAGAGCACCCCGAGGACTCCTGCATCTTAGAACTGAGGAGTCAAGTGTGTTCACACCTCACCTCTGCCCAGCCTTCCCTTTCCAGACTCACTGGCGAGTGATTAGAGGCTAGAAGCACCTTCAGAATCAGACAGGGCTCAGAACTGCTAGTGGGAGGTCTGTTTACAACAATAGTGAATTTGAAACAGTCTGCCAGATAGGGTGCAGCAGAGTGTACGCTGGGCCCCAGGTTGAGCTCCAGCTGGCCTTGGGCAGGTATCCTTGCCTCTGGGCCTGAGCTTGTTGGTCTAGGAAGCAGAAAGTGGATGAGGAAATAACTCGGGCCACATCATGGGGGCAGAGAAGGCCAAGCTGGCAGGAGTTTGCACCCTTAAACTGCCCCCTCAAATACAGCAGCTCTACTTTTATCCACTACAGCTATCAGGGAAGGGCTGTGTACAATTTCATCTGAACACAGAATTCTGTTGCCTTAAAAAAAAAAAAAAAAAGTTGGGTAATTTTGATTCCTGTTGCTGGATATTCTTTTCCCTTGCTTGACCCTGAGAGCCTGTGGCCTCTTGCCCTGCTCTAAAATATGAAGTAAGCATAACCTGGGGAATAAGACTTGGCAGAAGGCAAGAAAGGAGCATGTCAGCAAAGTAAGTGACAAGAGAAGGATGCAGAGCACATATGACCTTTGGCAGGTGACCTCCCTGAGCCCCTGCTCCCTCATCTGTAAGTGGAGCTGAAGATGGCACTTCGCTCTTAGGGCTGCTCTGAGGCTCCCGTGAGATGATAATGCAGTTAACGTGATAGTGCCTGGCACACAGGAGCCCTCAGGATATTGTAGCTACATGTGAGGGAAAAAGGACAACTATGTATACCTGTGTGTATCCATCTGTGAGCACCAGGGCTGTGTGTGTGTGGCAGGAAGAGTTAGGGGGGCCTGTGGGCCAAAGTTGCACTCCACCCACACTCACCTGTCAGTATTAAGGACAGCTTCTACTTCAGGGATATTGGCCTTGAGAGAGATGGCACTGAGTTCATTCAGCTCCTGGTTGTTGAGCAGCAGGTACTTGTTCCTGAAACAAGTAGGTGGGAGGGGGAATCTGAGAATTCCCCAGATACCTCCAAGGAGCCTTATTCTACAGGATGACACATGGCTCTCAGGCTGTGGGAGTCCACTTGACCCCTATCTTGCCCCTCTGACTGCCATATTCACTAACAAGGCCCCTTCCTTTGATATCTCCAGACTTTTCTTTTGGCCTGGATTTCTATTTAATTCTCAAAGGAACTTTCAATTCAGTAATATTCAAATCCAACTCATCATTTTACTTCTCAAACCTGGTCTTATCCGAGCATTCACACCAGGTCTCAGTCGACTGTAATACTCCCTTCACATCCAGGTGTGCCATCACTTGAGTCATGTGGACAGAACCAACTTCCTAAATGGCCTCCCCACAGGAATCGATTGCACACACAGCACTGAGGGTGTTCTTCAGAAAATGAAATGAGATCACATCATTTCCCTGTTAAAATTTTTTTTTTTAAGATTTATTTATTTATTTATACAAGCACTGGGTACAGTCAGAAGCGCAGGAGGGTGAGAGAATTCACCAGAGCCAGAGCGGGGAACAGAACAGGCAGAGTGATGAAATACACTGCTGAGGGGAGCAGCGGGAGTGGCAGGAGAGGTCTATCGAGCCATGTGGGACCCTCGCCGGTGGCCGGGGATTGAACTGGTGCTGCAGAGGCTGCGGGCAGCTTTGTAGCCCAGCGCTCAACAGCTGCGCTACCAGGGGAGGCCCCCCTGTTAAAAATGTTTTGCACTGCTTTAGAATACATAAAGCCCCAGTCTGAATGTGACCCACAAAGCCCTGTGGCCCAGCCACCAACCACCTTTGCAGCCTCACCCTGAGCCAAGCCCTCCTGAAACACATCAATGCCCACACTCACATTCCTGAATATGCCACACTCCTTCCTGCAGGACCTCTACAAGCACCCTGGCTCTAGATAGAAAACTTATCCTCTCACTCTTCCTTTTTATGTAATTTACTATTAACGACCTTTCAGGTCTCAGTTGACAAGTTTCTCTGCAGGGAAGAGCTATTGACCACTGTGGTCAGGACCCCTATCAGATGTTCTTTCACAGAATCACACTCCTTTCCTCCTGAACACATTCTCCATTTGCCACAATGCAATCAGTGGTGTCAGTGAACTCATGAATGTGCTCTTCCCTTCCCCTCCTCCTGTGAGCAGGGGTCATGGCTGTTTTCTCTCATCACTGTCTCCCCTGTGTTCAGCACAGTGCCTGGCACATACAAGTGCTCAGATTTAAGAATCTCACAAAAACCAGGGGCCTACATGCTCAGGAAAAAAGTACACATTCATAACATACTGATACTGTTTTCAAGAAGGTTCAATTACTTTCTGGAAGCCACTCTAAAGCCTCAGAAAACCTCTCAAAGAAGATGATCAACATGATCCAACCGAATGCTGCCAAGAAGCCCCTGGGTCCACATTTGTCCTCAGGCAAATGTTAGCTTGTAAAATGTTTCAAACAAATGTAAACCAGTATAAGTATCAGGATCTTTCACACATACCTAACTGCTGGCTTTCCACAGGGAAAATATTCAAAAGCTATACAACAGTGGACCCAGCTCCCTGGATGTCAACAGTTGGCAGGAGCTAAGCAGTAGCTCATCAAGATTCCCAGCACACTGTCTTCCCAAGGTCATGGGCAGCTGCCATTCACCCCTCTCTGGTACGGTTTTCCTTATTGCAGAAAATTACTCTTCTGTACATTCTCCACTGAAGGTTGAAAAATTAAAAATGAGAGGGCAGAATGCACTTCAAAAAACTGAGAGAGCACATCTAGTGCAGATGAAGAACACTCCATGTGTTCAATAAACAAACTCAGTTCTCACTGAGTCCTATGACTCACCAGCTTTCCATTTCTGGTTTCAAGGGGTGGGTGATGGCATAAAGGAAGGGCTGGGCAAATGGCAGTTCTCATGACAGTAACCAGAAATGCGCCACACATGACACCAAGATGACCATGGCTCTCATAGCATCCCAGTCCTCTTGCTGAGCTGATGTCAGCACGGACTGAGAGAAGTGACAGGAGCACAACTCCCTTTCCAGGGATGTCTTATACTTACTCGTGGTGGTCGCTGAAACTCTGGAGAAGCCTCAAAAACTGAATCTTCAAGGTGATGTCCTAAAATACAGGTGCATCCTTGATGTTAAAACCATAGTCACAATGTTTCAAAAGAAAGCAAAAACAGTCTGGTGAGAGCCTGGGCACGTGTCTCTGCTTCTCTGAGCCTCTGTCCTCATGCACAATGGTTTTCAGTCAGAAAACCATCTGTCAACTTCTACATCTGGCCAACAGCAGATTAAGCTAACAGAGACCCTTCCTGCCAAATACACAAACCCAACATTCTCCATAAAAAATAAGCAGAATTCTTTTACATATGAGGCTAAGTTCATAAGAAAGAAAGGAATATCTACAGGAATCAGAAATGAAGAAAGGATCGAATTCAGGAGTTCAGGGCAGTAGGCATAGGGCTAAGGATGAATAGTTCCAGGTGGAGTGAAGAGAAATGAGACACATGGGAGAATTCAACCTTCTACAGGGATCAGACAGAGCCTGGGGCCTGGTAAGGCCTGGGGTGTACACATTTGGTGAAAGAATGGCTAGAAAAACCCAATCTACCAGCCCAGGGAGCTGGCAAAGAAGACCTGCCAGGGTGCTGCTGGTGGTTGGAGGGGAGCTCCAAGGGGCAGCAGGGCCCTGAGCTCACACTACCAGAGCAGCAGGATCAAGACACTAAACATGCAACCGTGCCCCGGGACAGTCATATGCCATGAAGAACCTGGCAGACAAAAGCAAAGTGCTCTGCAGAAATACTTTCAGGGCCCATGCTACATGGGTAGTCTCAGGGAAAACAAGTCCCCTGAAGGTGACCCCTCCATGAACATTACAAAACATAAGGCAATCCTCCACCCAGAGTTAAGTCTCAAGACACAAACACAAGTATTAGTACCCCCTAACAATCTGAAAGAGACCATAAATAAAAAGTATGTTACAAATGATTAAAGAAATATAATGCAATGGAAAAATAAAACACTCGCACAAAGAATAAAACATTAATATAAAGTCCAAGCAGCTTATGACAAAGCCAGATAGAATGTCTAAAAATGCAGACTATCGCTACTTGAAATACTACACAGATGGGCTGAAATGTCAAAGAGAAAAATGGTGAACTGGAAGATAAAGCACCAAGCAAAGTGCTAAGAGAGCGCCAAGCTCAGGGAGGGCGCAGGACCCTGGACACTGAGAGCTGTGCAACACTTTGAGATCAGAGCACTTTCTCCCCATGCTGGTGGCTGAACCCCCACACAGTCTGTGAGGTCAGCAGGCCAGGGGTTGTGAGCTTCCTTTTGCAAGAAACAGAGGTGCAGAGATTTAGTGACTTGCTCAAGCTCTCAACAAACTGAGAGGCACAAGAGGCCTTCAACTCCCCAGTTCAGTGCTCTCTGTACGGCACTGAGACAGGTAGAGGTGAGCCCTTGATCCCTTAAAAAAGGAAAGCATTCTAAACTTTTATTGATGCAAATCACTGTTGGTGCATGTTTCTAAAAGGTGAATGCATATTACAATGGGGTAGAGGACAAAATAAGGAAAACTTGCTGCTGGGTAGTAGAGTGGGCGGTTGTTCCTGGGGGGCAGTGAGCTCCCCATCTTAGCAGTGTACAAGGGGAAACTTAGCTGGAGGACCTCAAAGGGATTTCTACATAGGTGGAGGGCTGTAGTCACATTCTTCCTCAAGGGAGCTTCCAACTATGGGATAAGCAGCCATGACTTTCAGTGTCTGCTCTACTCTCCAAGAATGAGATTTCAAAAGGTTAACACAGCAGGTCTTGAAAAACTACTCTTGGTAATTAAAGCCCCAACGGCCCCCAGACTCCCTTGCTTACCGGACTACAGTCACAGTTCTGGTTGTGACCATGGAGGACAAGGGTAGATGCTGAATGCTTCCTCCAAATCAACTTGTCAAACAAATTATTGAGTCCAGGGATCAACTTGAACTCTGCAATCATTCTGTGAACCTGGATGGAGGTAGGAACGCAAAGACATTAAGACAAATGCCCTGTAGAGATCTAAGCACATACAACAATCTTCAGGACAAAGAAAGCAACAGTCAGCAGGGAGTACTGATGTTTAAAGAAAATATCCATGCATACCCTAACCCCTCAATACCACCTTCCACTACACACAAGTATATATTTTTCTTTTAAAGATTTATTTATTTATGCATACAAGAACTGGGGTGTAAGCCAGAGGTTTGGAGGGTGAGAGGATTCAACAGAGAGAACGGGGAGCAGAGCAGGCAGATCTACTGAAACACACTGCTGAGGGGAGCAGTGAGCAAAGAAGGAGAGGTCTGCTGTATCATATGGATTGCTCCCTGGCTGGCTGGGGACTGAACTTGTGCTGCAGTGGCTGGCAATAGCTTCACAGCACTGTCTTTATCCCTGTGCCACCAGGGAGCCCTGCTTACTAGTCCTCACGATAATCCTGCACATCATATTATATAATAGGTCCCATTTAAAGAACATGAGTTTTGTATTCAGATAGTCCTGGACTGTACCCTTAGCTCCACTATGTATAAATTTTGTAATCTTAAGCACATTCCTTAACCTTTCTAGCTTGTTCTCTTCATATATCATTAAAATAAAGATACCGGTGTCCCTCAGGCTTCACACTATGATAAATTTCAATTGGAGGTAAGATAAAAATATAAAAAATAAAATTCTAAAAATCCCAGAAAAATCTACACAAAGACTTTAAAAAGAATGATGAAAGAGTGAGAAAGACTTTCTCAAGTATTATGCTAAACCTAGAAACCAAAAGAGCAGGCTCTGCTGAATTCAAACACACCAATCTTTTAAAGTTCTGCATGGCAAAACTCACAATAAGCAAAATCACAAATAAGACAAATGGACAAAATATTGGCAATCTTATGTCACAGGCAAAAGGCTAATTTCTTTGATAAGGAATCCTAAAAATCTCTTACACAAAAAGATCAGCCCTACAGAAAAAATGGGTGAAGGGTATAGACAGGACAGAGATTAAAAAAAAAAAAAAATTAAGTTATTAAATATATGAAAAATGGTCAGCTTCACTCAAAATATTAAGAGAAGTTACAATTACAAACAAATTTTCACTTTTTCAGATAAGAAGAAAAATTTTCTGACATTGATGAGCTGGGCATCAGGCACACAATGCTGCTGGAGGCCATATCAACTGTACCTGTCCAGTCCAGGCCATATCAACTGTACCTGTCCAATCACAAATGCATGGTCCTGCTGACTAGCAATTCTACTTTTAGGAATTTGTTCTAAGACAGATCTACATGAATACTAAATGACATGTACACAAAATTACTCATAACCTATACTTCCATCAATGGGTATTAGTTGCATAATTACCATGCATCCATTCAATGGCAAACAAGCACCAATAAAAAAGCACCCAGGTCTTTTACATGTAATGAATTGACATTCACAGGATGGAATATTAAGAAAGTGATTGTGTATATGCTGTATTACTACTGACAACACTAAAAAACAAGGGAGAATTATATATATTTGCTTTTTAAGTATCAAATGTCTTTAGAAGGATACAAAGCAACTGGTAAAATGGGATACTTCATGGAGGAAGAACATTCAGAATGGGGGGAGAGAGGCTTCAGTGATTCTTATTTATCCCTTTTAATTTTGAACAGTGGGAATTATTTCCTACTAAAAACAGGTTATGTTTTTACATAACAATACTAATCTACTACGATCTCTTCTCAGGATTGTTTTAAGAATAAAGTCCCGAGCATCCCCACTATACAAGGGGAAAGTTCAGCAGAACAAGTCTAAGGCAAGGTCAGAGGTGGAATGTCATCCTAGCTCAGCTGGTCTGATCCTAAAGCCTGCCCTTCTCCATCCCACCACTGGCATGCATTTGCCTTGGGAGATGAGAACTTAAAGTTCTGCGACTCTGGACAATATTCTTTATACTCAAGTTCCTTCACAGAAAATGAGGGATAATAGAGCTGTTGAAAGAACTCTATGAGGTAATGTGGGAGAAATTTGGGCATGACTTAAAGGGAGTGCTAAAAAAGAGAAAAAAATGACTGCTATACTCATATTTTCATTAGCACCAAAGGGATGGAACTTGCGGCACTTGGGAAATGTTGCTAGTCTAGTGATTTCAATTTACCCAAGACTGACCAGAGAACTTGGCCCAACTACACAAGAATAAGGCACTTTAAGAGGAAGATGTCCCAGTCTAGGTGGGCGTGTAAATCCACACAGCCACAGTGGTTGGACACCCAAGGGGCTCAGTAAGAGCTGACCGTGTTAGTCAGATTAACACTGGTTCTCAGTCAGGCAGGATTCTGAAGCTCGTAAGTTCCTCCCAAGGAGGGAAGCTGCTCTGTAATCACGGTTTAAAGACCACCATGATTCACAGAAACTTGGTAAGAGGAGACTGAAGAAGCAGGGGACTGATGTACTGCGGGGATATGAAAGAGGAGCCAGGAGGAAAGCCAGGAGGAAAGAGTAAATATTGGCTCTACCAATGCCGGGTAAATAAGAGGCATGAGTGTTTTGGGCTTTTTGTTTTGTTTTGCATTTTAAAAGGACAAGTTTATTAAGGAAAGGAAAAAGGAAAAAAGGAGGCACCTGCATAGACACAGGAGGGCAGAGAGCTACTACTGCTGCTGCTTTTGAAAGGGAAAATTTTGTTAAAAGAGACGCTGCATAAACACAGGCAGACAGTCTTGGGATAAGAACAGTCTCAGAGCTTTTATGTGCCTTTGTTTACTCAATCATCAAAGAGGGGAGAGAGGGAATCACCACCTGTTGTTTAACTTAAATCAAGAAAATGTAAAATATGAATATAAAAGTAGCTCAAAGGTGAAGGCAACTCAACACATGTAAGACATCACAACTATTATTTTTGTAACAAATCTATTCCATGTGGAAGGTAGGCACTCCAACACTGTGGTTGTCAGGTTGGGATCCCAACCATCTGTTTATGACCCACAAAGCTGTATCTTTTAGCCCTCTCTCCAAATTCCAGGTGTAGGTAATTCAAGTGCCAATTCTAACAGACACCTCAAACCTAACTTGTTTAAACTGAACTTCTCACTGGCAGTCTTAACCATCACATTAAATGGCACGTCCATCCTCCCATTTACTTAGGTTGAAACCCTGGAAGGAGTTAAACCATCTTAACCACTCTCTCATGCCCACATCCAAACAATCTTTGTTCTACCTTCAAAATATATCCAGAATGCAAGCACATCTCACCACTCCGACCACCACCATGTTGGTCCTAGCTATTGTCCTCTTTTTCACAGCAGTCAGAGAAATGACTTCCCATTTCACTCAGAGAAAAATACTAGAGTAGGGGCCTCCCTAATGGCCTAGGGGTTAAGTCTCAGCTCTACCACCGCTACAGCCTGAGTTCCATCCCGAGCCAGGGAGCTAACCCACATGGTGCAGCAGACTTCTATCTCACTTGCTGCTCCCCTTACCAGTGTACTTCAGTAGATCTGCCTGTTCTGCCCCCCCTCTGTCTCTGGTGAATGCTCACCCCCTGCATGTCTGGCCTGCACCCCAGTTCCTCTACACACAAAAAAGTGTAATTAAATTAAAATTAAAAAAACAAAAACCACCAAAGTACTTAGAATGGTCTATGAAAAAGCCTGATGCTATCCGCCCCTGGGTCCCTTAGCCCTTCCTCTCCTGATGCTGGCTTCAGTCCACCCCTAAGCTTGGTTACTGCTCCATCAACCCACGAGGTATGCTCTCACCTTAGGGGTGTGCTCCCTCTACCTGGCAGGCCATCTGGGGATAATCATGTGTAGCTTCCTCACTTTCTTCCAGACATTGTCATACCAAACATCATCTGGTCAGTGAGTCTTTTCCCTGGCTACCCTATCTAAAACTGTACTTCACTTATAATGGGGATGGCTGTGCCTATCCCCCACCAAGTTATGACAGTCCAGTATCAAACTCAAAAAGGCACTCAAGGACTACTGCACGCCCCCTTCTTCCCCCACATCTAGCTTCATCTCTAGATTTTCCCAGCTATCAGGAGAGTGCTACTTCTCAATCTTGAAGAGTGTTGCATACTTCCTGAATCTTCTTTTGCCCTCTGTAGGTTACAGGCCCTTGCTCCTCCCTCTGGGAAATGCTTCAAGTTTCAGGCAATCCCAGAACATACAGAGCTCCCCTGCAGCTGCCTGGTTTTCATAAGCCAACATTGCTCATAAGCCAACATTACCCTGAGCCCGCACCAGATGAGCAACATATCCAGTGCATCTGCAGGACACTTGTCTTGCTAGTCACCAATGTTTTATTCTTCACATGTCAGGTAACATGGCTAAGCTGCCACTCTCATCCTGAATACCAATATTCTGTCTAGAAATGCTGCCCACAGCAAGGTATAGTAGAAAGACTACAAGCTCTGGAATCAGACTGGCTTTCTTATGTACAAAACAGAAATAAGGAAAACTACCCCTAAGCTTTGTGGGGTTTGAGTGAGAGCCATTCTAAGAAGCAGCCAAATGGAGTATTTGGCATACTACAAGCATCCAGGCAGCATCTGCTCCTGCATCCCCCTGTTCTGAGACAACGGGGGAGGCCCACCTGGTTTCGCTGACGCCCCATCAGTAGCACGCAGAGAACATACAGCACTTCCAGTTTGTACATGATCTCATGCATTATCTTCATTGACTGGGGTAGCTGAGTCCTAGTTGAAGTGTGAGGCAGGCCATTCTCCTCAGAAGCCCCTGGAGGATGGAACACAATGGAGGCTGAGACAGCCACCAGGATAGAGGAATGAGTCATTTCTTGCGAGGAAACATGTTTCTGCCTCTAAACCTACTCTGAACAGACTGAGATAACAGAGCCATTAGCTTGGGCTCAGAGCTTGTAACAAAGTCATTCAAAGCCATACAACTCCCCTCAGGCTCTTTTTTTTTTTTTTTTTTTTTTTATAATTTTTTTTCCCTCACATCCAGGTTTGAAAACCCCTCAGGCTCTTAGGGGCCAGGCAAGCTTAGAAACTTAGAAAAAATTATTCTGCAGTTCTACCTAGCTCATCAACTTTAATAAAAATATTCTGACACAGTCAGTACAGTAACATAATCTATCCCCTCCTCCCATAGTTCTTCTCCTGTCACTTATCAGACCCCCAAGAGTGCCCAGATATGTCTAGCTGGGAAAGTACACCAAACTCTCTTATGGTTACAAATGAGTACTTGGTCCCACCACCTAGAATTCACAAGGGGGACACTGTTGAAAGACTGAGAGGGATGGATACTTTTTGAAGATTTCCCTCTGACTTTTCAAAGAACCATTTAAAGTTTTCTAGGGTTTAACTTTCTAAGACAGACTGGGTATCATACATGCTACTTGTGATACAGATGAACAAACACATTACATACTAGCAGATATCATTATGCCCAAACAATAGCAGCAGCTAATAACTTGGCATGTACCAGGCATTGTGATTTGGGATTTAGGCAACCATTTTATTTAATCTACTATAGAGTTAACAAGAAAGTCTCAGTGGGTCATGCAGGTATGGTGGAATGTATACTTGGGCAGGTGGCAGAGCAAAGTGGTAAGACTGAGGCTCTGAAGTGGTAAGGCTCTGAAGTGAAAATTTGCTGGCTATCTGACACTGGGTAAGCCACCTCATCACCTGCCTTAGAGAGTGCTGTAAAACAGGAATAATGGTACTAGTATTATAGCAGACTGCTGGGTATACTGTGAAGATTGAATGAGAACACAAGAAAAGCCCCATATCTGCTCAGAAAGTTTTACTTTTAGGTGTTTATTGTTTTGTAAGGGCACTGGTCAGTGTCAGGAGGCCTTAGAAGAGTTCTAGCCCCTCAGTTTTCCTTAGCTTTAAGATGAAAGGATAAATCATTAACTATTAAAGGTCCTTTCAAGTTCCTATTGGATAATGCCCTAGAGGCCTTTTGCAAAGGTCAGAAAAACTGATAGAGTAGCAGTCATCAGATATATACAGGTAAGGCATATGCAGAAGTCTTGGTGTTTTCTGCACTGTGATCACTTGATAGAAGAACCTAACTTACTCCACCCTACAAACTTGCAACTACTTTTTTCAGCCATGGTATGTCACTAATATAAATTTACACTAATATTAAATCACAACCCAGGAAAACAACAGTTTGGGGAGTAAAGCACTGAGAGGAGTGTAGAGAACTACTAAGAGGATCGACTCTGGAGCCAGCTCTCCGGATCTGAACACAAGCTCTACCTTTCACTAGGTAGGTGGCCTTGGGAAAATTTATTGATTTCTCTATGCTTCAGTATCCCTCTTCATCTGGATGATGACCACCCACTGAGTATGCTTGCTATCCAGATCATATTAAATGCTGTGCTTAAGAAGGTCCCATTAATAATGGTATCCTGTATAACTTAATTACTGCAAAACTGGAAAAAAAAAAAAAAAGTTCAGGAAACCTTATCCAGTTTGCTACTAAGACTTCCTTGGGGTCTTAAAAATGCTAACAATACACACGCTAATTAACAAAAGAATGGGGAGATTTCCAAGGCAGAGTCACTGGACTCTTCCAAAGATTACTAAGAAATAGGTCAATAAGACAAACCTTGAAAGTGGTGAAACAGAAATCAAAAAGGGGAGAGCCACAGAACTGGCCCAGCAAGATATTTATCTTTAGATATTTACGAAGAAATGAGATTTAAAAAACACACATACAAACAACCCAGAGATTGATGGAGCTATAACAAGTGTTTTAATATGACACTACCTAAGACTGGGAGGGTCAATGGCACCACCTACTGGTCACCTAACATTAAAAGGCCCCAAATAAGTCCATTCGATTTACCCCACTTTGGAGAAATTTTATTTTTTTATTTATTTTTTTATTTTTTTTTAAAGATTTATTTATTTATTTTTATTTTTAAATTTATTTATGTAAGCACTGGGTACAGTCAGAAGCGCGGGAGGGTGAGAGAATTCACCAGAGCCAGAGCGGGGAGCAGAGCAGGCAGAAGGACCGAAGTACACTGCTGAGGGGAGCAGCGGGCGGCAGGAGAGGTCTGCGAGCCATGTGGGACCCTCCTCCGGTGGCCGGGGAACAGCCGGGGAACAGCCGGGGATCGAACCGGCGCTGCAGAGGCTGTGGGCAGCTTCGCAACCCAGCGCTCAACCCCTGCGCCACCAGGGAGGCCCAACTTTGGAGAAATTTTAAAAGCTGGAAGATAGAAACTACTTGGAGCAGCAGGATAGTTCTTCTCTCCTTGTGATGTCATAGTCCCTTGAGGTCTGAAGTCACCATGCTATTTTTCTCTTCCCATTTTTCTACTTTAAAAAGTTTCCACAGTTTGATTTTTTTTTTTTTTAAAGCTATCTGGATCAGTCAACCAGGAGAGCTGTAAAAGAACTTTTACTTTTTCAGCAAGTGGCACCGTGGCTTTGATAGGATTTGTATTTTTGGCCTCTGCTGGCTTCTATAGGTACTGAGACTTGCAGTAGAGATCAGCAAGGTGTTAGAGGGGCATGGATAGATCTGGTCACTATCATGAATGTGGGGTGGGGTTGGGAAGTGGGATGAAACCCAGTTCATATTTGTGGCACAACTAATATCCTTCCTTTCTAGGGTCCCAGGTCTGAGAGCTGGCAGTCTATCTGTTGGCAGCATAATGAACAAGGTCAATACCAGTTGAGGGGATCCCTGTTAAGCTTTCTGCCTCATCTGGTATGAAATCCAGCTGTCAGGCACCACTAATTACTGGTGAATGTTCTACTGCTTTTGACAATGCCTAGAGGCATAAACTGCCCCAAAGTCTGATTCAATTAAATTTAAGCAGGGCTATTTTTTTTTTTTTTTTTTTGCGATTGAGATATGTTTTGATGTCAGAAGAGCTCTTAACTGTCTTTTTCCTGGATTTTCGCTGGTGAAATAACTGACGTGTGGTTTAGTTTTTTGTTCTTAATTAAGGAGCTGACAGGTTCCTTTTATTTGCTTAGCACCAAAATCTACACTGTTTTTGAGAATGCCTTTAGCCTTGACCGTCCCAACATTTATCACCTATTATCTCTCCCACTGGCAAAAATCTCAGTGCCACTATTCTGAGCAAGGATGGTAGTCTCCAGTCTTCACAATTTGCCAGTCCCTGAATGGAACTTCTCTCCTCCAAGTGAGATGGAGCAAGGGCAAAAGGGGTCACAGAATTCTTGGCCTGCCAGACATTGGGTAGAGCTTCCATACCACTGTACAGAGTAGGAGAGGAGACCCTGGCATTACGCTAAATGAAACAAGTCAGAGGAGAAATACTGTATGCTATCATATGTGGCATTTAACAAAGCCAAACTCAAACAGTAGAGTGGTGGGTGGTTAACTAGGAGTTGGTGGGGGTGGGGGTTAGATACTGGTCAAAGGGTACAAACTTCCACTTATATGTTTTGAGAATCCAATGTGTAGCATGGTGATCATAGGTAATAAGACTGTATTACATACCTAAATGTTGCATGACAGTAAATCTTAAGTGTTCTCACCACAAAAAAGAAATGATAATTATGTGGCAGGATACAGATGTTAGTTAGCTAATGCTACGGTAGTAATTATTTTACAAAGCACAAATGCACAAATCAAAAATTTGTGTATACTTTAAATATAAACAATATTATATGTCAATTATATCTTAATAAAGTTGGGGGGGGGGAGCCCCTGACTTCTTGGCCATATTCATTAAGAATTTAGCCTCTTCAACTCAGAGCTGGAGAGCATAAGAGGAGCTGGCAGCCTGTTCCCTCAGTGAGATAGGGTACTCCTTGTGTAGGGGCTGGGGGAAGAGGAAGCCCTATCTTTTTGGCCACACCTGCCCCAAGTAGAACTTCAATCAAGCATGACTTCAAGTATCATAAACTCTGCTTTTGCAGTGTTTTAGATTTCTTGAAGAAATGTTTATTTCCTGTATGCCTCAAATAACTTCCCTAGAATTGATTGCTATAGTTTATAGGTTTTGTCAATAGTTTCACCAGAGAACAGGTCCACAAAGCACTACATATTGCTATCCTGGAATAGAATATCTACCTTACCCCCATCATTTCATCTACATGATCACAGATACTTTCCGGGTTCATACAATCTGACCCCATCCTCCTGGCCTCAATCAAATGCTTCAGGGTTGAGCACCTCACTTAGTAATAGGCTGAAGTCCTTTACCAAGAAGCTGGAATTGAGATTAGGAATTTTCTCATTTACTATGAAGGCTAATCATCAGAACACAAAAAAACGGGAGGCTAAAAAATGTGTAGGAAAAGAAAGACCTCTTTGGGTTCTTGAGAATACTCTGGTTACTTATTCCAGTCGGTTTCTAAAGCACTGCAACAAAGCCCTTCTCCCAGCAATCAGGTTCCTCTCAAGGGTGTTCAAAGAGTTTTCCATCACTACCTGTCAAAAGTTTTAACAATCATGATCTTGGACTGTCCTCAAGAAAATTCTGTTTTAATAAGCAAATTTCAAATAAGGCTTGAAAAAAAAGTCAAGAATGATTTCAAAAGCCCAAGGAAACACACCCCAAGTACCTTGATTATGCTCGGATTCCTCATTAGCCACTCGCATCAGGGCATCTAACACCAAAGCATTGTCTAGCCACGTGTACCACTCCTCCAACTCCTGAAGGAAGCTGGCTGTGCCCGTTGATTCTGATACCTTTCGAGTTGCCAGTTTGCAAAGCCTCTCAACAAAGCCAGGGATGCTGAGAAGGGCCGCTGCCAAGGAGAGAAGAGAGGGAATTTTCAAAACAGAGACCAACAAACAACCTGCTCCTCATCTGCAGGATTCTTTTTTTTTTCTTTTTTTAAAGATTTATTTATTTATTTATACAAGCACTGGGTACAGTCAGAAGCGCAGGAGGGTGAGAGAATTCACCAGAGCCAGAGCGGGGAGCAGAACAGACTGATGAAATACACTGCTGAGAGGAGCAGCAGGTGCAACAGGAGAGGTCTGTGCGCCATGTGGGACCCTCGCCTGTGGCCGGGGATGGAACCGAGGCCGCAGGCAGCTACGCAGCCCAGCGCTCAACTGCTGCGCCACCGGGGAGGCCCATCTGCAGGATTCTTAATCAGACTTCAGCTAATCAGAACTTCCCTTTAAAATGAAATATTAAGCTAAGGTATGACAGTAATCAAGTTCTAAAACAAGTTCACTTTTCAGCAAGTACAGGAAAACAGGCATTTTCATATTTACACATGGGAATATAAGAATTAATATTTGTAATAATATTTAATATGCATTAAATCTGTGTCTCAGAACCAGGAGGTCCATTTCTGAGAAATGAAAACCAGTGCCCAAACAATACATGTAAAGACGTGTTCATAATAGCACTATTAACAATAGCCAAAAGGTAGAAACAACCCAAAAGTCCATCAATGGATGAATGGATAAACAAACTGTGGTATACAGATACAATAAATATTCAGCTATAAAAAGAAATGAAATATTGATGTGCTATAATGGTTTTGAACCTCAAAAACATCATGCTAGGCGAAAGATGCAAGATACATGATACCAGCTTATATCATTCCATTTATATAAAACATCCAGGACAGGCAAACCCACAGAAACAGAAAGCAGGTGGGTTGTCACAGGATGGGGGAACAGGAAATAATGGCTTAAATATGTATGGGGTTTCCCATCAGGGTTATGAAAATGTTCTGGAGCTGGATGGAGATGATAGCTGCACAAAATGTAGATACACTAAATGCTACTGCATTGTTCACTTTAAATGGTTAGTTTCGTTGTGTGATTTTTTATCTCAATTAAAAGCATTAGGTTGAGAGGGTGCTTTTTTTGAAAATACCATTTTTCACTTGTCAGCTTGACAAATGTCAACTAGTTTTAAAAGTACTTAAAAGAATGTATGAAGGTTAGAAGAACCAGTAATTTCTTTGGAGCATTATTTTATCAAGATCTATCAAAGCTTAAAAGGCAGATATCCAGCACATCAAACAAGGTGGTTGTTTGTAGAAATAAGAGACTTGAGGACCACCCTGGCGTTGCAGGGGTTGAATCTCAGTACTATGAAGTTATTGGCAGCCACTGCAGCGTAAGTTCAACCCTCCGCCAGGGAGCTGACCCACATGGCGCAGCAGATATCTCTTGTCTTGCCCGCTGCTCCCCTCAGCAATGTATTTCTTTAGTCAGTCCTCCTGTTCTGCTCCACACTCTGTCTCTGGTGAGTCCTCTCAAGCCCCTGCACCTCTGGCTTATACCCCAGTTCTTGTATGCATAAATAAAGTAAATCTTAAAAAAAAAGAGAAATAAACTTGAAATAAACCAAATTTCTCTCCATAGAGGACTGGCTAACTTAAGTATGGTATACCTATATATTTGAATACTAAGTAACTGAAAAGAGGAATCCCTTAATTCTGTAGGTACTGGAAGAGACTGCTGTATAAGAAAAAGAGAAAAGAGCAAGGCAGACTGGTAAAAAGAAGAAGTCAATTTCTCTCTCTCCCCCTCCTTCACTCCAGTGATCGGACACGTATAGGTTATCTCTGAAGGGACACGTGAGAAACTAGTAATAGCTTACAATGAGGAGGGAGGGAAACAAACTTTGTACTGTACACCTGCTGTTCCTTTTGGATTTTCTAATAGTCTTAGATATGTATTACTTTTTTCCAAAAATAAAGAAGAGAGTTTGGATTCAACCGGAAAATCTTCACAAAGCTGGATTTTTAGTCTTATACCTCTTATCTCCAGGGTAAATAGTTCTAGTTTCTTGAAGTGTTCCTTACAAAACATTTCCTACGCCCTAGTCTTTTCACTGCACACTTAACACAGGCCTTCAGACATGACCGCCCATCATTCAGTGTTCTCAGACTGGATTCCCACCCCAGAGATTCCTACGCTTTTGTGAGACACACATCTGCTAAAAAGCTGATGAAGGTTATGAGCAAGCCCCCACAAAAAAAAAAATGACTGCTCCAATTATTCTCATCAACTTACACACATTCTCAGGGACCTGGCACCCCAATACTGTACAGTTTTTTAAATTCCACAGCCTTGTGAGTAGCTATCACACACTGATGACTATGTTAAACTGACTCACAACTAAACACCCATGACTTCCAAGGATTTTTGTAAAACATCTTTTCTCTCCTTTTATTTGTGAAAACATTAATGTCTCCCAAATCCTCCTGTGAAGTTTCCTCTCACAGCTTAGGCCCAGCTTTCCAGCTTTCTGAGATGATTCTGAATTCCATCCTAACTTACATTCTGCATTTGTCAGTTCCTCTTGGCTTGGTATCATCTATAAAATAATTATCACACCAGTGGCTTCATCTACATCTCTGACTTGAGTGATTTTGTTTCCACCTGAATCAATAGAAGTGACAAGTGGCAGTCCCGAGAAACCCAACTGGCAGTCTCGGACACTTTTATTAACTGAGGTCTAGGAAGACAGTATAAATCATTTCATTCAAGAAAATTAACTCAGTCAGAGTTTATTAAAAACAAAACATTCTGGTAATATCCTATACACATCAGCTTTCCATAATGAACATATTATGTTCATGCAAATTCATACACTGAAGCCCTAATCCACAATATGAATGTATTTGGAGACAGGACCTTTAAGGAGGTTTGGTGTCCTTATACAAGAAAGATGACCTACCAGAGCTCTTTGTGGAAAGGTCACTATCTACAAGCCAGGAAAAGAGGCCTCACCAGAAACAATGCTAATGGTACCTTGATCCTGGATCTGTAGCTTTAGAACTGAGAGAAAATATCTGTTGTTTAAGCCACGGTCCTGCACAACATCATGTGCTAAAATACAACATTTAATAAAGCTTTATTCCAAAAGCTACAAGGAGACATTATCACATGTAGAATATCTTATGGGTTAGCCACACACGTCTGACAGTTGACCCTAGACATTTTATAAAGACATTTTAAATCTCCCAAATCAAACAAAACTTGGATTAACTTGGATTAACTCTCACTTAAAAAAAAAAAAATCAACTGACTAGAATACCTTGTTCCCCAAAGAATGATGGATATGCTGGCTTTATTAAGGTGAACTTACAAACAGGCACATAAAGGTAATTGATGCTAAAGTATGAAAACAATCTGCTAAAAAAGATCCCTTCACAGAAAAATAAGACGAAAAGTATTTAGAGCCTCAGCACACACACGTATCCAATACTGAACTTTGATGACCCTCAGTGTCATAAGCTAAGTGTACTAAGTGTGCAATGGAATGCCAATCTCTATTTTACAGGGCTGCCTGGAGGATTAAACAAAATCACTTCCAGATAAAGCAGTTAGTTCAATGTTTGCCATACAGCAGGAGCTTAACCAATACAAGTATTTGTTAGTGTATGTGTGTGTTAAAACAGCTTTGAGGTGTAATTTAGTTATAATCAAATTAGCATGTTTTTAAGAATGTGTACCTTAGATTACTAAAGTGAGCACTACTCAAAAGTTGTAAGAAAGGAGGAATGGGGGAAGAAAAGCCTATACAGACCTCGGATCTATGACCTCAGGAAGAAAGACGAGCCTAGAGGGAGTACCACTAACCTGGAGTCCAGAGAATTCTTACAATTCTGCTTTTACATACAATTCAAACATGTAAAATTATATTTCAACCTACAATACCATCAGGACTGCTGAGCACTCATAATTAAAACTAGAACGTTAACAGAGCTCATGGAAGACCATACTCATTTTCAGTATTTAGAAGGAAGGCTGCCATGTAGTACCTAGGAATTCTGCAAACTAGGCCTGGGAATACATACATCCAGTCAACTGGATTAGAAACAGAGTATTGTTTTTAAAGAATTACCAGGCCTTAGGACAATCATAGTTTCCTACTCCTGCTTTTTAAAGATAAATTAATTTACCTTGACTTCATTTCCTCCCTCTCCACCTTAATACAAACCAGTAACATAAATACACAATTCTGCATTTTCCTTTTTACCATTAAGATATCTTGGAAATTTCTGTATATCAGTATATAAGATTTCCTTCTTTTTAAAAAAAAAAAAACCACAATTTTCTATTATATAGAATCTCCAAAAGTGGTCTCTTGTTGATAAACATTTAGATGGTTCCAGTTTTTTGTTATTGCAATGTTTGCAATGAATAACGTATATATATATCCTCTATTTTATGTGTGTGTATATTTGTACACACTTCTGATACATACATGTCGAAATGTCCAAAAACAACTCAGTGGATAAAAAGATAGGTATTTGTAATTCTAAAAAAAAAAGGTTCTTAACTTTTTTGAGGTTCTGGATCCATTTAAAAAATCTGATAAAGGTTATGGACTTGGCTCCCCAAAATAAAGAACAGCTATCCATACACAAATTTTACATACTCTAAGTGGACCTGAGGATCTCTCACATGGATCAATCTGTTGAGATAATGAAAGAGGATATGATTTAGGAAGGATCCAGAGCTATAATTTCAAAATTCTGAGAACTGAGAGGCTTTACCTTGGTTGATTTCAGCTGCAGAAGGCCCCAAGCTCAAGCTCTTCTTCTGCTGAGCATTTTTGGCAAGAAGTGTATGCTTGTCATCATTCCCAGTATCCATCTCTGAAATGGTGACAGCCAGAATCCGGCAGAAATTAGCAAGCTGTTGCTGATCAAAATTGGATACTAAGGAACTTAGATTGGGGACTTCGTCTAGTCGGATCATTTCCTACAAAAGATACAAATAAATAATCTACATTGTCAATTCATTCAAGATTGGATGTGACCTTCTTTTGCATTCCCCTAAGAATGGGACGTGGTAGCTAGATCTCTGAAGTTCAAGCCCCAGCTCTGCAATTTGCAGCTGCGCAATCTTAGTAAGATTTGGAACTTCTGTTTGCTTATCGGTCAAATGGGACTAACCTACTTCATAAGACTAGTCTGGATTAAATCCTTTGAGCACTACTGTTCTTATTCTCTACACTTGCACATGTGACTCATTTTATCTATAACAAAAATGCCCACCACTCAAATTTATCAATCATAGCTGCCATTCTTGCTATAGATTTTTATTTATTTATTTTTTTTTATATAGAGGCATGTTTTCTTTCTTTCTTTCTTTCTTTGTTTTTGTTTATACATGCACTGGGTACAGTCAGAAGCGCGGAAGGGTGAGAGAATTCACCAGAGCCAGAGCGGAGAGCAGAGCAGGCAGAAGGACCGAAGTACACTGCTGAGGGGAGCAGCGGGCGGCAGGAGAGGTCTGCGCGCCATGTGGGACCCTCCTCCGGTGGCCGGGGAGCAGCCGGGGATCGAACCCCAGCGCTCAACCGCTGCGCCACTGGGGAGGCCCTTGCTATAGATTTTTTAAAGAAACATTTCAAAAACAGATAAAGGGCACTGTGTATCCCACCCAGTTGCATCCCTTTCTCTCTCCCCAGAGGTAACCAGTATTTTGAACATTACATTTATTATTATTCCTACAAATATTTACAAATATTTCCACAAAATATATATGGTATTGTTCTACATACACAGTGTGAACAACATACTTTACTTTTCAGTCAATAGTGAGATACATTCATTTACACAAGTAGCTCTAGTTCATTCATTTTTCAATATTTTACTCTAAATTTAACCATTATTTATACATAAGCTTAGGTGAATTATAATTTTTCACTATTAAAACAATGTTGCAATGAACATTCTTATAGGTCCCTCCTCATGTACATGCACCTGCCCAATGATCTAGAGTGACAGTATTCTTGATTTTCATAGAAATATTTCCAAAGTTTCAACCTTAAGTTTGATGTCTGCTGTCAGTTGTGATATAGGTCCTATATTATATATTAGGTCAAGGAACTTTACTTGTATTCCAAGCTTTTACCATAAATTAATATAGAATTTTATCAAATACTTCTGTTATTTGGTTATAGGCTTTGTTTTTTTTTCCTTCCTTAATCTGCAAATGTTGTTTATTAAATCAGCTTCTCTCCTTTTGAAACATCCTTACATTCCTCAGATAATACCTGCTTGACCCTTCATCCCACTAATTTACTTAACTTCCAGTGGACTAGGGATTTCTCTATCATTGCCCCTATCACATGATCTTGTAATTACCTGTGCCTGCATCTATTTCCCAAATAAACTGATAATAACTTGAGGGCTGGGAAGAATGTGTCTTAGCTTCTCTCCAGAGCCTCAATACAAAAGACTGGGCAGTGAGGATGAATAAGTGAATGATTCCCAGAAGCCCTCAAGAATCCCATACCTTTTATTTATCTGATAATGAAGGACAGGAGTTTGCTGTGAAGGCATTTCAAGTGCTGCTTCAGCCTTTGCCTTCCCTTCCCCAGTGTTGAAACAATAAACATTTGCTATTGTTATTACTGACTTTCAGCTCATCAATTCCTCTTGCCCTAACTCAGTGTCCAGGTCAAAAACCAGTCCCAACACCTTTGTATTACATTTTCATTTAATATTTAACATATACAACATACCATAAAACATGTAAGCCTTTCCTATTACATTTCCCTGCCTCTCAGCCAGAAGACATCACTATCCTGCCTGAATTTTGTTTCTTAGTCCTTTGCCACTAAAAAATGTTTTATCATACGTATGATGTACATTTATTTTTGCCTTTTATAAAAATAATTATGATATTCAGTCTTCTCAAACTGCCTTCTGCAGTAATTTCTACAATTTAGGTATGCTGATGCCTATAGCGACTTCATTCATTTCCAATACATTATAATATTTCATTATGTGAATAGAGTACATTTATCAATTCTCCTACTTATAGGTTGTAGACCTAGTTTCAGTTTTTTGCCCTGAAACAACGATGCTATAAATGTTCTTATGTTTCTTGATATGCATGCACAATGGCTTCCAGTACATTCTCAAATGCCCAACAGTGAGAAACATTTTCTGGGCCTCCCTGGCGGCGTTAGGACTTAAAGACAGAGAGAACAAGCTATCGCCAGCCACTGCAGCACGAGTTTGATCTCCAGCCAGCCAGGAAGCTAACCCACATGGTGCAAAGACCTCTCCTGCCTCACCCGCTGCTCCCCTCAGCAGCGTATTTCAGTAGATCTGCCTGTTCTGCCACTCTTTCTGGTGAATCCTCTCACCACCACCCCCATGCCTCTGGCTTACACCCCAGTTCTTGCATGCATAAATAAATAAATCTTTAAGAAAAAAGAAATATATTTTCTGTTATAACCTTATAAGGATACATATGCAAATGAATACATGTATAATTATGAAACAAGAACTTCTCTGAGTAATATCCTCACACAACCTAATTTGGTCTATCTATTTAGCTGGCAGATCCCAATGAATTCATTTCACAAATCCTCTTAGCTTCAATTCAGTGTTTTCATTTCTAAGAAATCACTGTTCTGGGATTGAGTTTCCCCATGAATACACCTGGGCATGGGTTACTGGTAATCCAGAAGTCAATGTCTCTCAAGAGAGTGCTTCCCTTGGTCTGGGTAACAAGGGTATGTGCTTGTTCAACAATAAACAGAAAAGATAAACATATTCTCCTGATAGACAAATGTATCAGCAATATATTATGTCAGCAGTATCCTCACCAACATTTGCTCTCTGTATCTCTCATTGTGGTCTTGGTTTGCAGTTCCCTGATTATCAATGAAGTTGTATCTTACATTTATGTACCATTTGTTTTACTTCTGTGAATGCTTATTTCTATCACTGTCCATTTCTCTAATGGGTTATTTGTCCTTTTCTCGCAAATTTGTAAGAATTCTTGATAATTTTTGAAAGCCATTTCTTTCTTAGCTGCCAAGTATCTTTTCCCAGTCAGTGACTTGGGTTCTCACTTTTATTATGGCTCTAGCCCTGTTTCAAGCTGCACCAATAATGTCTAGCCGTATGCATCACCTTTTGGTAACACAGAAAGGAATGAGAGAGAGTCAAAGAGCATAAAGGACAAGCAGGAAAGGTTGAACAGAAACAATGCTAGACTCCTATGCCGAGACTGCCAGGGAGTCTGGAGTTTCCACTCTGGCAGCGCCCTCTCACACACTGGCTGGAGCACACAGTTATTGGAAAAGTAACAAAGCCCTTTTATCAAAAGGAACAAAGGGTCTGTCTGGGACCTGCACACATCTCCAATGTGTTCCTACAGACAATGGGCCACTTGTGCATCATTCGCCTAGGCAATGACAAGCAGGGCCTGGAGAAAGTGCAGCAGAAATAAATATAAGCTGGTCACCAAAATGCACTTAGGTACCCTTTCCCTTCAACAACAACTTAAAGAGGCTGTTCCTGCAGTCTTAGTAGTAACAGAAAGAAATCTGCCAACCTGCAACCAAAATGGAGGCATGGACAGGATTGGGGAAGTAAGTTTTAGATCCAAAAAGCATTACACCAAAAATCTAATATGATGATTCTCTAACTGAAGGCCTAGGAATGTATTTTGTGGGGGGTCTGTGAGACCTTGATAAAATTTTAGTTGTGTTTTCATTTTAATTAGAGTTGTTGTTTTTAGTTATTATTATTTTTTTTTTTTTTTAGAGTTGTTGTTTTTAAAGCATACTCTGGAGAATCTGAATATCCATCTTATGACCAGGTAACAGTATTTCAGTTCTCATGTTTATGTCTCCTGTGTTGTCGATTAAATTTTAACTTAAAGACTAATGTGAAAAAATAGAGGTGGATTTAATAAGTAAAAGTCAAATATCATCACCCAGGGGTACATATACTAATGAATGAAGGTTTCAAAAATTGTTAAAATATAGTAAAATGATAGGAAAATGAAGTCATCAAATAGCATACAGCAATATAAGCATACTTAAAAGATTGTAATAATAAGTGAGGGGCAATTTGATTTCAACAGAATAACATTAGGCATTACATTAAATTCATGAAATCAACTAAACTTTTGAGTATTATAATTAGTTTGATTTCATTTATATATTTACTTAGGTTTTAGTTTTACATTAGTACAAGGTGGTATAACCTAGTTTTATACTTGAATATATTTGAATAATATAAAAAATAAATTAACACTAAGATACATATGGAAGAATTTTTCTTTAAAATTCTTTAAACTGTTCAGGTTTGAGAATTCAGTCATCTGAAATACCCTTTCACATCTGGTCATGATCAACTTACTATAGAATATAGCTTACCTTTTTAACACCCAAAATGTCTTCAATAAGGGTTGCTGTCTGTAAGAATGTCTTCTTACTCGTCATCAGTGTAAATAGGAAGATCACAAAGTCATTCTTTTCTGCCAAACGCTTTGTAACTCCTTCAGTCTATCACAAAAGAAAAGGAGAGAAAAGGCAGTATAGGTTATAACCACAAAATAAAATATGAGGAGCAAGATATCCCTTCCAGACACTGGAAAAGCAATCCAAATCTCTAGCAGAGTTCTTAGCTGAGGTCTTAAATCCCTAAACATGTTGTGTACAAATACATTTTTCTGGGAAGGGTTTTTTCCCCCATGATATTCAAGATAGATTCTTGACCTAGTATCTGCTGAATATCTAAATTGGGAGCTACAAACTGCCATCCAGAGGGCAAGTTTTATTTGACCAGCAGCACTTTTTAAATTTTGAATTTAAATTTAAATGTCTTTAGGCATGAGCTGTTTCCTCAAAGTTAGTTATGATTTACATAAGTAGCCACTCCAAAACATTGTAACTTCAAACATTTCTTGTGTTTTAGCTGTTCTCTGGAGGCACTGGTGCTTACAACTATGAAAGCACTAGGTTCTCCACCTAATATGGAATTATGGCAGATCAGCACAGAATTGAGCCGTATCATCCTGTTTTTTATAACTTTTTAAAAAATTCAAAACTGTGTTTTTGCTAGAATTTTATTAACATCAGGAGTCACTATTAATGACCAACTTCAGAAAACTGATGGCTATATGGAAGTTGCCAATGACAGAATCATAAAATCTTACATTGCCCTTTTTTCCTAAGGGCAATTTTTTTTTTTTTTTTAACACTTTAAAAGGACAGGTTAATTAGAAAATAATAGCACCTGCATAGTCACAGGTGGGCAGGAGAGCTGCCAAAGACAACTTTTTGGCCTTAATTGCAAGAACTGTGCATTTCCTAAACAATTTTATTTTCATCTTAAGATCTAAAACTACCCGTGTCACTAGTTACTATAAGTACTTGAAACGTGGCTAGACTGAACTGAGATGTGTTCTGTGTATTAAAAAACGCAAACTCTGTGGTTTTTAAAAACTCTGGATTTTAAAAGCTTAGTACAAAAAAAGGAATGAAAATATTTCAGGTCATTTACTTATACTGATTACAGTTTGGAAGAATAATCATATTATGTGAAATAAAACATTATCAAAATTGGGCCTCCTCTGGCGGCGCAGCGGTTGAGCACTGGGCTGTGAAACTGCCCCGCAGCCTCTGTAGCGCCAGTTCGATCCCCGGCCACCGGCGAGGGTCCAACATGGCACGCAGACCTCTCCTGCCGCACCCGCTGCTCCCCTCAGCAGTGTATTTCGTCAGTCTGTCATTCTGCTCCCCGCTCTGGCTCTGGTGAATTCTCTCACCCTCCCACGCTTCTGACTGGACCCAGTGCTTGTATAAATAAATCTTTAAAAAGAAAAAAAAAAAATGTAACCTAAAAATGAAAATAAATTTTAAAAAAATTATTACGATTAACCACCTATTTCATCCTATTTTTTCCTTACTTTCTAATAATAAAAAATATAGCTATAAAGAAATCTGAAATAACTTCAGTAGTTTGCCTTATATTTCTACTGCTCAGCACTGTTACAGATGTAATACTGTTTAAGTGTTGAAACATCTTTTTTTTTTTTAAGATTTATTTATTTATACAAGCACTGGGTACAGTCAGAAGCGCGGGAGGGTGAGAGAATTCACCAGAGCCAGAGGGGAGAGCAGAGCAGGCAGACTGACGAAGTACACGGCTGAGGCGAGCAGCGGGTGGCAGGAGAGGTCCGTGCGCCATGTGGGACCCTCACCAGGGGGTGGGCGTGGGGTGGGGGGGTGGGACTGGGGATCAGCGATTGAACCGGCACCGCAGAGGCTGCAGGCAGCTTTGCAACCCAGCGCTCAACCGCTGTGCCACTGGGGAGGCCCAAGTGTTGAATCATTTTTGCCTGAACATCTTTAAAGGAGTTCAAAACTGCTCAAGCAGCTCTGACTCTTAACAATTACTATGAAATTATGCCTCTCCATAATTTCTACCTGTCGATCCTGGTTCTCAGGCATATATAAAATAAGTTCAATTCACCCATGTCTGAAGATAGTTCTCATGTCTGCCACCCTATTTGAGCTCCCCTTCTCAAGCACTGCAGATATGGAAAGGAAATAATCTGATGACAGGGTACTTACACAGACACAGGTATTATACAGGATGCTCAAACAGTCCTTGGACATTTCGTCACTTACTGAAAGTGAAATGGGAATAAGTGGAAATTTTTCTCATTGAAAAGATAGTGTAACAGAATTCAATCTTTAAACATTAAGAACTGTTCCTCATAATCTCCAAGATGCTTATTTTCTTTTAGCATACCTAGTCCTCGAGTCCTGTTTACCAAGGATTTTCTCATGATGCCCATCAGAAGTTGGAAACCAAATTTGTATAGATTTTTGATTTGATAGAATAGCCATTTTGTTCTTATGCTATTAATATATAGTCTTCAATCTGTTGTGATGTCATTTAATAAACCATGTTCCCCTTGTAGCTTGCTTGGAATGTATCCAGAATTTTTGTTTTAGTTTAATACTTTACAATGTAAATACACTAAAAATAAACTCTGTGTGTGTGTGTAGCCTTTTTATGCTTGTGTTGAATTGGTTCCTCAAGATACATTTCCAAAGCAGAACTACTAGAATCCAAAATATGGGCAACCTGACTACTCTTATTGTATATTTCCATTGAAAGTTCTACTAGCAGCAAACGAGTAATTTTACTACAGACTCATCAAGTTTTTATTTTATCTATTTATTTATTGGTTACTTGTGTTGGGGAAATATTTTTTAATGCCTGGCCTACTAAATCCAATTAAGAATTAGTTACTTCTCTGTTAACAGGAATATGAGAGTAACACAGAAGGGAAACGAAATTTTTATGACTAATCCCACAAGATGATAAACTTGAATATGAACCATGGACAGTTTTGTTTAGCATTACTTCTTATTTTTAAAAGCTGTTTTCACTCTTTTCTCTGTTGCCACAAATCTTAAAATGCTAGGTCTCCTTCTGAGATCTCAATGGTGAGCCCTGTCAAGCTAGTTTGGGTTACATGATACAATGCTGAGACAATACAGAACCTATTGCCCTCACCACTACCTTTTAACCTACTGGGGCTTTTTTAGGTTGGTTGGTTTATTTCATGACTTCAGAACAGGTTGAAATATTAGCTCTCAGTATTTTCTAGACCATTTCATTTTCAAACATTTATTTAACATCTATTCTAAAACAGGGAATACAATAGAGAGTGGTTAGACCCTCCCCTCCCCACACTGAAAATGGCAGTCTCAGCACTCATGAACTTTTAGAAACTAGTGAGAGGAATAAACATTGCATATCAACAAGAAATTACAAAATGCCACTTTCTCAGCTGCTATGAGGGTAGACAGAGAACATGAAGAACCAACTCAGACTGCAAAGCTGAAACATCACAAATGAATGTGAATACTCTTAACCACTACTGCACACAAGCCAAGACTAGTATAGTATGACATATTGATGTTAAGTGGGAATTTTATTTTAATTATAAAATATATGTGGTTTTTCATGGCATCAAATGTTAGCTGAAGTGATCTCTGGCTTTTAATGCCAAAGTAAAGTGCACTTACTATTTTTTTAATATTAAAAACCTAAAAAGAATCTATGTATAACATATATAAATTATTAAGAATAAGAGAAAATACCATACATTCATCACGCAGCTTAAGAATGTAATGTGCTACCAAAACACTTTTACTTTTTACCATACACATTCTAATAATGACTGAACTTTGTACAAAGCGCATGTAAGCATGTATCACCTTTACAAGTCTTTATATAGGAAAAAAAATTAAACAAAATTATATTAGGTTATACCTTACTCCCTCAATTAACAGTATATAATAAAAATTTCCCAAGAAAACATAAAAGCTGGACCCATGTACTATTAGCAAGTACATTTAGGTCAGTGGTTTTTATATATTTTTCTTTTAAAAGCAACAGATCTATATTCTACATAGTATAAAAGAGAACTGCTTAGTTAGGGATACAGTGTGTCCTGCAACAGAATATAAGAAACTTCTGGGAACTTACATCAGCAGACGGGGAATGAGAATCAGTGGCTGACATACATACTTACTTTTCAGTTTCTGACTTCGGATAGAGATTGTAGGCCTCATAAGAATTTCTACAAGGAGCTATTAAAAATAAAAAAATAAAATCTTCAAAATTAATTCAAATCACAACTTATAAAATAATCCTTGTCATGACAACTAGGGCCCAAATATCTGTCCTAATACCCCAGGCCCTGCTATTCCCAGCACAGGCAGAAGGTATTGAGATTCAGAGGAATGAGCACTGTCAAAAGCCAGGAATCATGGTTTCTGGTCCTAGGCTCAGACACCTATTCCCTCAGAAAACTTGAGTAAGTTCTTCCATCGTGGCCTCCGCTTTCTACATTTTCAAAAATAAGCATGTTAGAATAGGTTTTATCTCTGGGATCCAATGCGGCTATAATTTTTTAAAAGTTGCAGAACATTATTGCTATGACTCCTCTTTTGCTTAAGAACATTGTGCTCTGTTACAAACATAAATTTATAAAAAGAATCTCAAAAGATAAACCGTGAGTACTGATTTTTATACAGGCTGAGGATAATATGAATTTATTTTTCATTTAACACACAATACAACACATAATTTGCTTAAACTATTTATAACATATATTCAAAAACAGTCTGTTCAGACAAATGACAGTTTATAATGATGAAAGGATCAGTTAGGAAAATATAATGATTATAAACACATATGAACCTAACAATAGAGTATATAAACACATGAAGTAAGCACTGGCAGAACTTGAAAACAGGTTATTGGAGCGTTCAACTATTACTTTTTTTTTTTTAAAGATTTATTTATTTATTTATTTATTTATACAAGCACTGGGTACAGTCAGAAGCGCAGGAAGGTGAGAGAATTCACCAGAGTCAGAGCAGAGAGCAGAGCAGGCAGACTGACGAAGTACACTGCTGGGGGGAGCAGCGGGCGGCAGGAGAGGTCTGTGCGCCATGTGGGACCCTTGCCAGCAGCCAGGGATTGAACCAGAGGTTGCGGGCAGCTTCACAGCCCAGCGCTCAACCACTGCACCATGGGGGAGGCCCTCAACTATTATTTTTGAATTGTCTACTTCCTTCAGCACTGGCAGAACTGAAGGAAATAGGCAGTTCAAAAATAATATTTGGATGCTCCAATAACCTGTTTTCAGTAATAGGCACCAGGGCTTCCCTGGTGGCGCAGGCGGTTGAGCGCAGCGCTGTGAAGCTGTCCGCAGCCTCTGCAGTGCCTGTTCAATCACCGCCCACCAGCCACAGAGCAACCCACATGGCGCGGCAGACCTCTCATGTCTCACCCGCCACTCCCCTCAGCAGTGTATTTCGGTCATTCTGCCTGTTCTGTTCCCCGCTCAGTCTCTGGTGAATCCTCTCAGCCTCCCCCACATCTGGTCTGTACCCCAGTTCTTATATAAATAAATCTTTTTTTTTTTAAGTAACCATTGTTTTATTTTTAAGATTTTATTTATTCATACAAGAGCTAGGGTATAGGCCAGAGGCGCGGGAGGGTGAGAGGATTTACCAGACACAGAGCAGGGAACAGAAGAGGTAGACGACTGAAAGCACTTCTGAGGGGAGCAGCGGGCGAGACAGGCAAGGTCTGCCACGCTATGTGGATATCTCCCTGGCTGGTCAAAAATAGGCATCATAGGGCCTCCTTGGTGGCGCAGGGGTTAAGACACAACCTATGAAGCAATCCACAGCCACTGCAGCACGAGTTCGATTCCCGGCTTGCCAGGGAGAAACCCACATGGCGGGACAGACCCCTCCTGTCTCGCCCGCTGCTCCCCTCAGCCGAGTACTTAGGTCTATCTGCCTGTTCTGTTCCCGGCTCTGTCTCTGGTGAATCCTCTCAAACCCCCCACCCCCCCGTCCCTGCATCTCTGGCCTGTACCCCAATTCTTGTATAAAAATAAATAAAGTTTAAAAAAAAAATAGGCATCATATAAGAAATAGAAGACTTGAACATTTTTAAACACGATGTAACAGACATGTACAGAACACTCTGCCTAGCAACAGCAGAATACTTTCTACTCAAGTAGAAAAAAAGGAACACATTTAAGGTTCATAAGATCAGAAATCTTAATATTGTTAAGATGGTAATACTCCTCAAATTCACCTACAGATTCACTGTAATCCCTAGCAAAATTCCAACAGATTTCTTTTCAGAAACTGACAGTGATTCTGAAATTCACATTGAAATGCACATTAACCTAAAATAATCATGGACTATGAGTATAGAAATATAACCAATGTGTTTACAGTTGACTGCTTGACAAAAGTTCCAAGATAGTCCAATGGTGAAAGAATGGTTCTGCCAATAAATGATGCTGTCAACAAATGGAGTGTCACATGCAAAAAAAAAAAAAAAAAAAAAGCTGAACCACTCTATCACACCATAAATAAAAATAAACTCAAAATATCAAAGACCAAAATGTAACAGAAAAAACTAGAATGTGCTTAGAAAAACAGAGGGGTAAATCTTTTTGACCTTGGATAAAACAATGGTTTCTCAGATCTAGATCAAAGTCCAAGCAACAAAAGAAAATAGATAAAAGTATTTTCTTTATCAAAATTCAAACTCTTGTGTTTGAAAACACACCATCAGAAGGTGAAAAGACAGTCACGGAATGGGAGAAAGTATTTGCAAATCATGGATTAGTCTCCAGAACTCATGCAACTCAATAAAAAGTGGGTGGGGGAACCGACAAAAGAGGTGAACAGACACACCTTCGCAAGGAAGATATACAAATGGTCATAAGCACAAAAAGACAGTCAGATTAGCCATCAGAACCACAATGAAATACCACTTCATACTCATTAGGGGGGCTATAATTAAAACACATGTAGTAACAAGTGTTGGGGAGGATGTGGAAAAATCAGAACTTTCATATACTGCTGGTGGGTGTGTAAAATGGTGCAGCTGCTTTGAAAAACTCTCTGAAGGCTTCTCAAAGGATTAAATGAAATTTACCAGATGACCCAGCAATCCCACTTTTAGGCATATACCCAAGATTAATGAAAATATATGTCTATACAGAAGTGGATGAACACACAAATGTTAACAGCACCAATAACTCACAAAAGCCAAAATGCAGAAACAGCCCAAAATGTCCATCAACTGATAAGTGGATATACCAAACAAACGTGGTATATAAATACAATGTACTAATATCAACCATAAAAAGGAGAGAATTGTTACCTGAGTGAACCTTGAAAACATTAAGCTATGTGAAAGAAGTCAGTAGCAAGAGACCTCATGTTACATGATCCCATTCATATGAAATGCCCAGAACAGGGATATCTAGACAAATAGTAAAGTAGTAATGGCCTCTGGTGGGTGTGAGTATCAGAGGGTAGCACAGTGGTAACTAAAACATATGAAGTTATTTCTTGGGGTGGTAAAAATGTTCCAAAATTGACTGTAATGATGGTTACACATATCTATGACTTTATCAAAACCACTGATTATTAACTTTAAATGAGTGAATTGCATGGTTTGTTACATACAGTTCAATAAAGTTGTTAAAACTTACAAATACCATTTTTCTCATATCTGCTTAGTAAATATTTAAAATATACTATTTAACCAGAAAGCTACGAGGTGCTGGTAATGTTTTACTTCATGATTTAGATGGCAGTGACAGGGGTAAACTTATTTTGTGATTAATTACTAGTATTTTTTTCTATATGCAAGTTATACTTCAGTAACAAAGTCCATAAAATCACACATACACACATTGTGTTGGTGATGGTGTGGGTAAACAGACATTCCTTCATTCTGTTATTGGGGATGCTATCAATAAAATCCCGGAGGTATATAAACTGATAAGTTATAAAAATAAGACACATATACTTTGACCTCCAAAGGTAAAAATTCACATGCATACAATAGCATGTGCAAAAACCTTTACTTCAACCTTTTTTGTAATAGCAAAGACATGGAAACTGTAAATGTTCATCAATTGGGGCCTGGATAAATAAAGTTTGGCACAATTATACTATCCCCAAGCTAGAATTACATAGAAAAGGCAAGGAACACAACAGTGTACCTGTATATATGGTATGTCATATCTATGTAGGGAGAAAATCAGTAGTAAGGGTTATTTACACAGACATACAATCACAGAACATGTCTAGAAGGACACAGAAGAAATTAGTCATCACAGTTGCCTCTAAGGAGGAGACACTGGGGAAATGGGAGACACATGTTTCTCTTTGTGCCTTAAAAAAAATAATGTGGATGTTACTATCAAACCAAACTAGTTCTGAAGTAAAGGGTAGACAGCATCAACACAGATGAGTGCCATTGAGCTTCCAAAGATTAAAATTGTAATATTTTCAAGCCATTAAGTAGCAGTGGTAATAATAATAATAATTACTTACATCAACACCTCCAAACAAGTCAAAAATATAAGTATTTGGGTAAGTGGTTTCTTGGGTAAGCTTCCTCTCTTCAGTAACAAATGCCATAGCCTCCATGGAGAGAAGAGGAGAAATTTCCTAATTTAAAAAAGTACACAGAGATACTCAGTTTTAGTATCCAACACAAACCAAGACATCAGTTTGCATTTTAGTCACAACTTGAACCCCATGAACACGAAGATAGGCCCCAAAACGCTATTTACTTTCTGGTATTCATGCCCCTGCAGAATCCTCTTCCATACTGAAGAGGGCCAGTGTGACTGCTTCAACCAACAGAACAGGACAGAAGCGACACAATGCCATGGGTGGCCCAACTCATAAAAAGTCTGGCAGAGTTGGCTTTTGCCACCTGGGAACCCATTCACCAAACCAGATACCTAGAAAAGCCATGAGGAAGAGAACTGAGGCCAGGGCTGAATCCTTAGCTGATCTCCAGTTAACTACCTACTAGCCACGTGAGTAAAGCTTCTTTTGACCTTTTCAATGTCTTAATACCCTACCTAACACCACATGAAGCAGAATAACCATTAAATTAAACCAAAGAATGATAAATGGTGGCTGTCACTTCAAGCTACTAAGTTTTGGCAGTGGCTGGTTTTCCAGTAGTATATAACCAAAATACAGCTCAAATGTCACCTCCTATAGAAGTCTTCCCTGAAGCAATGTGGTACACCTCTGAACCCCAAAAGCAAACTGTGATTAATTGGTGGCATCTAGCACTTTTACTTTGCACCTTTTTACAAATCTATGTTATTTCATCCCTATATTAAATATAGACTAGTGGTTCTCAAAGTGGGGTGGGGCAGTGATGGGGGAAGGAATGGTCAAAGATTCCTTTGCTCATATGAAACACTGCTAATAGAAAATAAGCTTAGAGAAAAGACAATATAATAAAAGTTGTAGTTATGGTAGTGATGGCTAATTTATTTAATGTTCATTATGTACTTGGCATGGTTCTAAGTACTTTGTGTATTTACTACCTCCTTTAATTCTTATGATCCTATGTGAAGATAGTAACATCCCAATTTTATAGAAAAGGAAACTGGCACAAAAAACTTGACAACACCACACAGCTGGTAAGTGGTAGAGCCAGGATTTAAACTTGGAAGTCTCGCTCCAGAGTTTATGCTTATGTAAAGACAGCAGAACTATTTTGGGCGAAACAGGAGATAGACCAGGACCTTACTTACTATGTCCTTTCCTTGGGAACCCTAGAAAAGAATAAACACAATGGGCTAGAGTTGTGGTTTTTACAACACTGGTGATCATCAGCATCACCTGAAGGACATGTTAAAATCCAGGTTGCTGGACCTCACCTGCAGTTTCTGATTCAACAGGTCGGGGCTGGAGCTGAGAATGTACATTATAATAAGTTTCCAAGTGATGCTGATGCTGCTGATCCAGGTACCAAAATACACCAAGAAAAAGCAGGACACTTTCTTACAGATAACCTGTTATATGTTAGGCACCGGACTTTTAAACATTAGCCCATTTGATCCTCAAAATTCAGTGAAGTGAGTAAAGTTGTACACATCTTACAGATTAAAAAAAGCTGTGCAGGGCTGCATTAATTGATAAGTAATTAAACCACTTACTAAAGACTAAATCAATTACTAAAGAAAGTGAACCCACTTTCTCTCAGTCTCATTTTTCTCATCTATAAAATTAAGAGGGAACTCCTGCTGGCAACACAGTACAGTGGAAGCCAGTCTTTGGAGTAAGATGACAAGATGGCTTTGTCACATAGTAGTTACAAAGCTTTGGGTGTGTCACTGCTAAGTCTTCCCTCAAATGAAAAAGGGAACACAGAAAACATGTGGATTTTGCCGGCCCAGTATCACTTTGTCTTTGTCAGGTAATAGTCCCATTTCCTTAAGCAAAAGACTCCTCCCCAGTGTCCATGTGATTCTGCTGGGGATTCAAACAAGCACCTCAGTCCCAGCCCCAGGAGCAGGTGATTAGTCTATAGTCTGTGATCCCCTTCATCTCAGTGACTGGCTCAAATTGTAGAAATGTCACCCAAAAATGATCACAAGGAACAACATGAGTTCACACAAAGATGTCAAGTTAAGAAACCCACAGCCTAACTCTGTTCAGCCCTAGAATTTATAGCTGTGCTTTCCACCGATGTAAGACAATAATTTTTTTTTGCTAGTCTGAGTGGGTTACTGTCACCTTCAATCAAAATAGTCTGGAGTAATACAAAGAACTATAACACCTATCTCATACAATTACCAAAAGAATTAAGTATGCCTAGCATACAGTAAGTTTCAAATAAGTATTTAGTGGGTAAATAAAAAGATGATCACAGAGCAAGCACTCACAAATGTTAATTTTCCTCTTTCTTCTACCTTCACCCCATAGCTCAGCAATTGTGGAGAAATCAAATGAAATAATTCTGCAAAATATTTTTATTTATCTGTGCATTTATTCTTTATTACCCTCGGGCCACTGACCCAAGATGTTTTTAAACAAGTTTAATTATTTCCATCTTAATCAGACTGTAAGAATATAAAAAATACAAAATATCTCTTCTTACAGATAAAGTTTATTTGGTGTCTATTTTAAAATGACTTATGATATAGTAATCAAAACTTCACTTCTGAAAAATATAATTAAATTTCATCATGACCAAGTACCTTGTGTGGGTTTTAACTAAGCTCGAAGGGGCCTCCCTGGTGGCACAAGGGGTTAAATCTCAAGCACTATCAAGCTATTGGAAGCCAATGCAGCGTGAGTTCCACCCCCAGGCAGGGAGCTAACCCATGACACAGCCGACCTCTGCTGTTTCACCCGCTGCTCCCTTTAGCAGTGTATTTCAGTAGATTCGCCTGTTCTGCTCCCCACTCTGTCTCTGGTGAATCCTCTCACCCTCTGCGCCTTTGGCATACACCCCAGTTCTTGGACGCATACATAAATAAAATAAATCTTTAAAAAAAAAAAAAAAAAAAACTAAGCTAGAGCTAGTGCTCTAAATTCAAATTTGGGCCCACTACCCCCACTCCCAGTTAATGCCTGGAGATGGTTAGCATCTGAATACTGGTTAGCATACTGAATGGTCAGCATACTGAATGGTCAGCATACTGAATCAGAAACTCCAGCGGTAGCTGTTTTAACAAATCTTCCAGGTGATTCTGATACACACACATTTGAGAACAAGTGCTCTAGCATAATGTCTCTGCACTCTTTCCAAACCTCTATCATTAAGCCCAGTTCCTTCAATCTCTTTATGTAGTCATAATTATCAACAATCATAAGACCACATCTATGAAACATCAGCACTATAGGATCTTTTTAAACCCTGTTCAAAAAGACTGCCATTCTAATCCCAGGGCACAATGTTTACCTCCCAAATTAAGTAAGCAATGACAGAAAACTGTGAATAAAGCTCAGAAGGATATACAGAGGACTTAATGGTGATTACATCTTGACGGTGGAATTATAGGTGGTTTTTATTTTCCTCTTTGTAATTTTTCTGAACTTCCCAAATTTTCTACAGCTTACACAGTAAGAATAGGCTATTTTAAAAAGTAAACTGAAAGAGAGAGAAAAAAGGCACACATTTTATGCCACTGAGAGGCCCTGAATGCAACCCTCCAAGGACTAAGAGTTACCTTGAGGATGTTTTGGCACTCGACGAAGTCACTGTGGAGGTGGCTAGTTGCATATAGCTTAAGGAGCAGTTGAGGAATTCCACTCCATTTGGATTGTTTGTCTCTCTCCGTCAAAAAACTCTCAGTGAACTGTAAGTCAAAAAAAGAAAGAAAAAATTTTACTGATGAGGAAAGAATTACTAGCATATGTGGCAAAGGAAAGCTGTTGCTTCCCAATTCCATCCAGGAGAGATAATTCAAAGACCTCTTTCTAGAAATCTGCAAAAGTTCCCATTTCTCAAAGTCCCTTAGTTCAAAGTCCAACTCCTTGCCTTGTAATATAATGTCCTGTTTATCCTATCACCTACTTTCTTTTCTAGCCTCATTTCTTTCCCAATACACATTCTAGGTTCTAAAAGCACATGTTTCTCTCTTGGTGCCTCTTTGCACATGTTCTTCCCCTGCCTAAAATATCCTTTTCCTACCTGGATAGCTGCTTCTTCAAAATACAAGTTAAGCAACAAGAAACTTTTCTTGATTGGCCTTTCCCCTCTCCTTTCCAAGGGATCAGGTTCCTCTACTCTGAGGCTTTATCTAACTAAAATTTATCCTACTATAACGTAATGGCTGATTCATTTGTCCCTCTCCTGTAAACCATAAGCTCCTCCAGAGTAGTAAACAGAAGAAACCAAGCTGTGTTTATTATGCACACCCATGTTCATGGCAAAATTATTCCCAATATCAAATGAAAGCAACCAGATGTCCATCTAGAGATGAATGGATAACAAATGTTGTCTGAACACACAATGGAATACTATTCGCCCTTAAAAAGTAAGGAAATTTTCGGGCCTCCCGTGGTGGCGCAGCGGTTGAACTCTGGGCACGAAGCTGCCCACAGCCCCTGCAGCGCCAGCTTGATCCCAGGCTGCCGGGCGAGGGTCCCACGTGGCGCGCAGACCTCTCCTGCTGTGCCCACTGCTCCCCTCAGCAGTGTATTTTGTCAGTCTGCCCATTCTGTTCCCCGCTCTGGCTCTGGTGAATTCTCTCACCCTCCTGCGCTTCTGACTGTACCCAGTGCTTGTATAAATAAATAAATCTTTTAAAAAAAAAAAGTTTAAGAAAAAAAGGAAAATTTGTATATGCTACAACATTCATGAACCTTGAGGACGTTATGTTAAATGAAAAAGCCAAAACCCAAAAAAATGATTCCATTTACATGTGGCATCTAAAGTAATCAAATTCATAGAGGCAGAAAGCAGATTAGCTGCCAGCAACCAATGCAGGGAGGGAAGAACGGGAGTGGTTTAATGAGCCCAGGGTTTCCGTTCCTCAAGATGAAAAGAGTTCTTGAGACGAGTTGCACAACAGTATGAATGCACTTAACACTATTGAATGGTACACTTAAAAATGGTTAAGATGGTAAATTTATGTTACGTATTTTTTACAATTTTAAAAAAGAAATATAAGAGGGGTCATCATTACTGACTGCTTGGATATTGGATGAATATAAAGGGATATTATGATCAGTTTTATGTCCATAATTTTGATTACCTAGATTAAATTGTATATTCTTTGACTATACAAACTATCAAAACTCACACAGAGCAAAAACAGTTATGTTAATAAGCCTGTATCTATTAAAGATACTGTACTAATACTTTAAAGACTGGACAAAGTGTCTGGATATACTTATATATAGACATGGCCAATCAGAAAAAGATACTCAACAACATTAGTCACAAGGAAAATGCAAATCATATTCAGATGAGATAGCTATAATTTAAAAGACAAAGGGAAAAAAAGAAAAAATATATAAGGGAGCAGTTATTAAGTACACTTGTTAATAAATAACAAGTATTGGTAAGGGTGTGGAGAATCTGGAACACTGGTAGGCAGCTGCTGGGAATGTAAAATGGTACAGCCACTTTGGGGAAAAAGAATTTAACAGTTTCTCAAAAAGTTAAACAGAGTTACCATATGATCGAGCAACTTCACTCAGAGATAGAGCACCAAAAATAAAATTAAAACCGTATGTCCACACAAAAACCTGCACACCAAATGAAAAACGGGAAATAGAAAACCCATGTAGAGAAATAGTATTTGCCAATAAAAAGGAAGTGCTGATACTTGCTACACCATGAACAAACCTTGAGAATATTATGCTAAGGATTAAGCAGTAAGTCACAAAAGACCACATATTATTTGATTTGAATACTATGAAAATACTAGAGTAGGTGCAGGGTTGAAAGGGGATAGAAATAGATTTGGAACTGGGAGTGACAGATAATTGGATGTGGGATTACTTTTGGGGGTGACGAAATGTTTTAAAATTGTGGCAATAGCTGTATTATCACTATATACAGGCATATCATGTATACAGTAAAAACCACTGACTTACAGTCTTTAAGTAGGTGACTTGTGTAACATGAATTATATGCTTAACAGAGCTATTATGAAAAAATAAATTGTAGGTGTAAGGGAACTTCTAAGCTGATGGAAACATTCCAAAATGACTGTGGTGATGGTTGTTAATTATTAAAAAAAAAAAAAAAAAAAGCAAAATGGTGAACTGTATTATTTACTATGGCTAAATTTTATAGCATATAAATTACACCTGAATAAAGCTATTTTTTGTAATCAAAAAAAAAAAGGAGAAAAAGAAAGACATAGGTGGGACGTTTAAAAGCAAATACTATATTAAGAAGGTATATTTAAATCCTAAAATTCCAGTTATTACATTAAATGTAAATGTACTAAGAGTTCCAATTAGAAGACAATGTTTGTTATGCTACTTACCAAAGAAACATCTTGCACAAAGACTAAAAGAGTGGGAAACCATATGCAATAGACACCAAAAAAGGGAGTGTAAGTATTAAAAGCAGCATAAGACACTAAAGGCAAAAGTATTACCAAAAATAGAGATAATCATTAAGAAAAAAAAAGTCATGACAATGTAAAAGTTCTAAACCTAACAAACAGCTTAAACATAATAAACAATAAACAGGGGCCTCCCCGGTGGCGCAGCGGTTGAGCGCTGGGTTGCGAGGCTGCCCGCAGCCTCTGCAGCGCCGGTTCGTTCCCCGGCCGCTCCCCGGCCACCATAGGAGGGTCCCACATGGCGCGCAGACCTCTCCTGCCGCCCGCTGCTCCCCTCAGCAGTGTACTTCGGTCCTTCTGCCTGCTCTGCTCCCTGCTCTGGCTCTGGTGAATTCTCTCACCCTCCTGCGCTTCTGACTGTACCCAGTGCTTGTATAAATAAATAAATAAATGTTAAAAAAAAAAATAAACAATAAACATAATGAATAACTTAGCTTAACCATAATAAACAGCCTCCACATACATAAAGCAAAATCTGACAGAACTAAGAGGAAAAATTGGCAAATCCACATAGTGGGAAATTTTATAATTTCTCCCAGAAGCTGATATATGTAAATAAAAATTTAGTAAGTACATAGAAGATTTTAACACAAACAAAACTAAGCACTATGTCTAATTGCATTCTCTACACATTCTTTTCAAGACACAGAGAACATTTACAAAATGACCCACTAGGTCACAGGACACATATCAACACATTTAAAAGGAAAATACAGATGATGATCTGTATGTCTGATGTCACAAAAAGACAATTATAAAACACTCTTGATTGGGGCCTCCCCAGTGGCGCAGCGGGTTGACGCACGCTGTGAAGCTGTCTGCAGCCTCTGCAGCACCGGTTCGTTCAATTCCAGCCGTCCAGGAGAAACCCACATGGCACAGTAGACCTCTCCTGACTTGCCCGCTGCTCCCCTCAGCAGTGTATTTCAGTTAGTCTGCCTGTTCTGTTCCCCACTCTGTCTCTGGTGAATTCTCTCACCCCACACACATCTGGCCTGTACCCCAGTTCTTGTATGCATAAATAATCTTTAAAAAAAAAAAAACCCTTGTTTGAAATTAAGAAATATACTTCTAAAAAAAATGATGGTTAAAATAAGAAAACCAAGCAGAAATTTGACAATTTTCTAAAGTTAAAGACAATGAAAATATTACATAGCAAAACCTGCCAGGGCCCAGATGATATTTCTAACTCATGAACATAGAAGGAAAAAAATCCTAATAAAAAAATTACTGAATCAAATTTAATGATCTATAAAAAAAAGTATGAAAATCAGATTTTAAAAAATTTTTACCCAAAGTAATTAATCACAATAACATAAAGGAGAACAAATATATGAACATCTCAACTGTTGTGAAAAAGCATTTAGATAATAATTCAACATCCGCTAATAACAAACTCAAAAGAGAAATGAACTAATAATAGTATTTACAAAGAACCTTCAACAGACATCATACATAACAGTGAAATGTTTTAAGGCTTTTCTTCTTAGATCAAGAATATGCCATTTCAATTCAATGTAATACAGATTCCAGCAACATGAGTAGGCAAGAAAGAGAAATCAAAGATATGACACTGGGAAGGGAAAACATCAATGATTCATTTGTGAATGATATTCACAGATGATTGTACACATACACAATACAAAAGAATTAAGAGTTAAAGTTTGAAACATAAGAGCAATATTAATACAAGCACAATATAAAAATCAAGCTTGTTTTTATATTATATCTACAGTTAGGAAATGCAATTTTAGAAGTACTATTTATAATACCATCAAAGAATGTCAAATGCCAAGGAATAAATCCAACACGTTATGCAAGACCATTACACAGAAAATAAAAAAAAAAATTAAGAGAAATCAAGAAAGACCAAAAAACAGAGAGAGATGAAAGTAACGGTGACAGAGAACAAATGTATTCAGAGATTGAATACAATCTCAAATTTTATAAAAATGTACAAGTTCTTTCTAAAATGTATGTGGAAATGGCCAAGAAGAACCAAGTAAATCTTGAAGATAACTAAGTAGGAGAATCTACACCTACTCAATATAGTACAGCCCAAACCAACACATAAAAAGTTACAAAAAGTAAAACAATGTAGTATCTGCACAAGAATTAAAAAAACAAATCTGGACTAGTACAACCAAATAGACCTGAAGCAGAAATAGGTGGCACTATAGAGGATTGGATGGGATAAAAGAGACTTCTCAATAAGTAACATCAGGTCACCTGGATGTATATAAGGAAAAGCTGAGTATATACAAAAAATTAAT